TGGCACTGAGACACATGGAGAGATGTTACGCAAAGGTGATTATTTCTTTAATTTGTGTTTCGGCTTCTAAGCATCAGATATAAGCAACATATCAACATTTCTTTCCCCAATGATTATCTTCACAGTATGAGAGTCAGACCTCCTTTGGTTCCATGTATCCTACAAGAATAGAAGGGTAAGAAAAATAAAATGCTCTCAAAGTGTACAGCAATTTTCCCTAGTTTCACTTTCTTTACTAACAATTTCTTTTTTCCACAGAGCAACTAGACTCTTCTGTGATGTGTACAATCCTCAAAGCAAAACATATTGTAAAAGGCTTCAGGTTTTGTGTCCAGAACATTCCAGAGATCCCAAGGTCAGTGAGCACACTTAAGTCATTTGTAAACTTCCAGGATAATTTCCATGACTCACTATAAACTGCCAACTTCGTCTAAAACTTGAAATATTCACGTCATTTTTCTCTCTTCTGGTGTCCAGGTCCCAGTAGACGAGGTGTGTGGGTGTCCTCTGGTGAAGAATGTGTTTGAGCTGACAGGGGAATATTGCAGAGTCTCCAAAAGAAAATGCAACAGACATTACAACTGGGAAAAGCTTAGGAGAGCTGAGGTGGACTTGGAACGAGTCAGAGTGGTAAGTCCAATTTCACAACTGCTGCTTTGGTTTAAAGGGACAGAACCTTCAGTTATTTATTTGAAATTTTGTAGATATTCAATTTCAAACGCCTCTTCGGAGCCACAATGAGTGAAGTGATGATCATCTGATTTTCCGGTGCTAAATAACTTAAAACATTGTACTTGTGTTCCCTGCAGTGGTACAAGTTGGACGAGCTATTTGAACAGGAGCGTAATGTCAGGACTGCTATGACCAACAGAGCTGGTCTGCTCGCGCTGATGTTGCATCAGACTATTCAGCATGACCCCTTGACAACTGATCTCCGTAGCAACAAGGATAGGTAGTCGACCCAGTCTGCATCTGTGGATCACTGTACATAACATAAGAGTGATAAGGATTTAAACTTATAGAACAATAACTACCATTTAATGAAAACTGGTTTTCTAACTAGATAATTATTTTAAAATCTTTGTATGATAATTAACTGAGTGGTTAAATGGATATATTTTTTTTTTCTCACTAATAGAGGATCTCCTGCAGATTGGAAACTGCTGTTTTTGGTATGAACTCCCTGAATAAACACCTTAAATTTGAAGTGTGTCTTATCGATGTATCAATTCTGTTGGTCATTGAACATATTATGTGCACAGGATGCCTTGCTTACTATGACTATCACCTGAAACTAATCCAAGAATTTATGCTTTCTGTAAACTGAAATATACATATGAATATTGCAGCTTAGACTACAACATATACTGATATGCTGTTAATGTTACACTAGAGATGTAGCTTTCCCTGTACCAAAACGTGTATGTTGTACAAAAACACAAAGCCTCCTCTAACCAGTCAAGTTATGCAAATGGGAGACGTGTGCCTTCAAGGCTTTCTGCCAGAAAGTGTTAAAGTGGTAAAATTTTGGAAAGGGTCTATTTTAACCCAAACCATGATCTCCTCCTAAACCAAGCCAAGTAGTTTTGTCACCTAGAGCTAACTAAGTAGTTCTGTTGCCTAAACTTAACCAAACTGACTGAAAACAGCTCAAGTTACAAGAAATATGGTAAAAAAAAATCTCCCCTTCTGCCCCAGAGTTATAGTGTTGAATAATGGCAAGAAGTGGTTTTGCAGAACATTATCATGTGAAACAGTTGACCATTTGGATATAAACTGTCATCACTTCATTATTTTTTCCTATTAGACATTTGTGTTAAACTGTGTCATAATTAGCATATGAATTCTTAAGTTGTGGCCAAGAACATCTAAGAGTAAGAAGTGCAGTCGCAAACCATAGGTCTACAATTCCAGTCAGGTTACCTGTCCAAAACAGAATGAAACCTAAGAAAATATGTTTCAGTTTATAGATACATTTAACCATCAATTACTCATAGGTAGTAACAACAAAATAGATATTGTTGAAAATAATATCCAAAACAAAAAAGACTGAAATGTTGAAAAAATATAACATGAAAGTAATTTACAAATAGAGAGAGTTCAACCATTAAAATAAATAAAAATAAGGTACTGAGCAAGGAGCCAAAATAAATTATATTAATATGTATGGTTCTTCAATATGAATCCTGACTGGACAGATTTGAAAGAGGAGAAATCAATATTTATAGATTTGGAGCTCAGACAATCATGCAAGAATTCCCAAACATTTTGGATCGTGTGACAAGCATAAAACAGGTGCTGTCAGTGCCATGGACAGCACCTGTCTCCGTGGCTCGGGACCGTTCTGTTGTCACTACATTTACGTGAGGCTGCCGTGGAGAAACTACAATGGTGCGTCGATTTAAATGTTGCTACTGCAAGGAATTGTGGGACGGCATTATATCCTTTACTTTCGTAACGTATGGTCCAATGTTTTCCATGGAGATGAGATGGGAAGCACTAAAACACTTGTCCTCAGAAATTTAGAGAATTCCACCAGCTCTTATCATGGCAGCTACTTAGATACTTCCGGGTCATTTCACATTGCTAGCAACCTTCCTACGCAAAAAAAGACTTAATTAGACCAAAATTAACATTGTGCCAGATTTGAAGAAATTTCCTTTATTCCAGAGATAACGCATTTCAGACCATGGGACAGACGGACAGCGCAAAACATCCGGCAATACCGGCACTTAGGCATAAAAAGCGACACCAAATATGATCTAATTTGTTCATTGGGTTAATAATATTAAATATTTTTATTTATACAATATTACACAAAGACCAGTTAGACTGTTTTAACTACAATTAAAAGAATGCATGAATAAAACAACCTGTTTTTGTAAAATGTTTACAGATTTTCATTCAAACACTGATGTCTTTAAGTGCAAACACTCAATACTGTTTACACAAGGGGACAAACTTTACAGTATTAAAAACTGGGGTTTACAAGCTATGTTTTCTGTGGGGTCACTGAAGACAACACTTTCAAGACAACCTCAGGGTTTTCTCCCAGCATGGGAAAACACCCCAATCCTGGTGGTACGCTGATATATCTTTTCTTTCTAATGAGCGTGAACGCAGCACAGTTAAATGAGAAAGATGAGGATCAGAGAGGGTGAAAATAGGATGAGAGAAGTCACCCCCTTCACCGTCATACTCTGTTAATAAACTGGCCAAGTGTTCTTTATTTTAATTTTTATCTCCAGCCAAAATATTTGAAATGAGGAAACGATGTTATGTTGAACTGCTTGAAATGAGCGAGCAACGAATCAAATTTAAAAATGTGTAATTGTGTAGTTGTATAATGAAAATACCGTATTGCTGGCTGATATAGGCTAGCTATAAGTCAGCTAAAATGGCCTAACTGTTGTTCACGATGATTTGCAGTAATTATCTATAATAGAAGAAAATAAAAAGGTAGTTAAGTATATCTCAGAGTGCTTATTGTTGCACGGTCAGGTTTTCTTAAAATAAATTATCGTGGCTCCCTGAACTTACCTCTGCATTATAATTCTTCACTCACTTATATTAAAAGCAATAATTGTCAATGGGAAGTGTATGTTTAAGGCAATCTGCGTTCTGTGATGCTGCTAGTGGTCCTCTCTTCAGGTGGGTTCAAAGCCTACATCCATTGCCCTGGCGGATTTTTCTCTTTGCTGTCTCGCCTTCTTTTGTCCTTCCACCGTTTCCGTCAATGTTGCTTGGTAGCTAGCTAAGTTAGCTCTACCTCGTAAAGTGAAGTGGTGCATGTTGTGTCTAGAGTACCAAGCATCTGGGGAACATTACCTTTAAGGTGTGTGTGTGTGTGTGTTTGTTGGCCCACCTAACCGCAAACATTTTTAAAGCGATAGCAATACACAGCTCTCAACTTAGAGGAATCATTTTAGCATAGTGGCACTGCAACCATGGAATTGGGACGCTCTAGCTAGCAGTAGCTAACGCTACTCTCGTGTTCACTTTCAGTGCTTCCTCTCCAGCTGCCTTGAGTAAGTGGCTCTGATATTGCAGCACTGGTAGTGTGTGATGAAATGCGTTTTAAGACATAATTTGAATGACTATGAGAGAATCAGAGCACTAACAGTAGTAACAGCACTCACGACAGTTGAGGTTAGCTAGTGTCACTAACATTGCATTTGCCGGCTAACCTTTGCTACATTCTAAAGCTAGCTAATTAACAATTGACAAAAGGTAGGTATATTTTTATGGAAGCTAGCTAGCGTTTACCAGCTGACATAACGCCACACCCAGTCTGTTTAGTTAGTCTGTGTTATAAATACTGAACATTTGTTTTTCAAGTGATTGTCATCGTGTGTAACCAGTAGTTTGTAAAGCTAACGTTACAGTAACACAACATCGGGCTAGGCTAACTGAACTGTCATTCTGCACTGGACATATAGTGTGTTTAAGTGCTGTTCTTAAATAACACCCTTGTTTTCAGGTTCTGTCATGAAAACCTGAATAGCTGTCATCCACCCGTCTGCCCGGTTCATCCGTCAGCCCAAACCTCAAAGGCCAAGCTTCATTGGCAACATCCACGGACGGTCTGACTTTTCACCACTTTAAATGGGATGCAAGATCTGCTGTAGAGGATATCTTATTTGTCTCCAGGAAACCACTGTCGGCCCTTTTTACCCTGAACTGGTGCATCAATGAACGAGGAACCACTTGACAGCCCATTCCCTGGCAAAGAGCCTGTGGAGAAAGATGTGGGACACTGCACGGAGAAGCAGATCTGCAAAGAGGAAAACACCTCTGAGGCAGCACCAACACAGGAGCCCATGGCACCCTCAGACAGTCCTCATACTAAGGAAAACCCCAGCTCAAATCCTGTAGAGGAAACCCTAGGAGGGGCAAAGGAGGAGGAAGATGGGGAAGCAAAAGAGGAAGCAAAAGAGGAAGCAAAGGAGGAAGCAAAGGAAGAAGCAAAGGAGGTAGCGAAGGAAGAAGCAAAGGAAGAAGCGAAGGAGGAGGTGAAGGAGGAGGTGAAGGAGGAGGAAAAAGAGGAGGCGAAGGCTATGGGCGGTGATCCTCCTGTTGACTGGTTCGAGCCCCTTGAGGAGGATGATGATGCCAATAGTGTTGGTAGGAATGATGGAGAAGAAGAAAGCTTGGCAGGAGAAAGTGAAAGGAGTGAGAGTGTGGCAGGCAGCGAGAAGGCCTTCAAAAAGATCTATCAGTAGGTTGAATAATGTTTTCCCTCAATCTGTGGTCATGTAACAGTATTGCTATAATACTGTAATCTGATAATCAGCACCATTATGTTTTGATTAGATATAGTTGATGATGTTTTTATGACCATGTGCAAGCACAAGACCCAGTGGTTATTGCCTTTAACACGTTACGTCTACAGTACACATGTGGTATGATGCAGTATAAGTTCTCTGACTTGAATCAACAGGGAGTGTATTTAATTAAGGGGAATGGTTACAAGTTAAAGTACACTAGGAAGAGGGTTACAGTTGATAGCGTCCTGGTAAAAAATAGAGAACATATATATATATCACATGTGAATACATTGTTTTATTACGTTATCTTTCGTAAAGTAAGTCTATTCAGTGTCTGCCAAAGAAAAGTTATCTGTAACCTGCCATTTTTTTGAGGGCTCTTGCTGTTTGTTTCATTTTCCGTCGAAACAATCAGCTCATCTCAAACCTCTTGGCAACTTTGCCTCCAACTGTTGAAAGCAAATAAACACACAATGCAGTATAGCTTACATATAAGCAACATAACATTTTCTTGGATGGCTTCTTGTGCAGTCTGTTTTTCCCATTTGGTATAAAGATTTCTAACATCTATTATTCCCATGTCCTCTTTTAAATCCAGGCTTAATATTCCCCGCCGTAAGCGATCACATCCTGATGAGGGATGGGAAGAGTGGCCAACACTCGGAGAGGGTTGGAAACGCAAAGAAGTTGTTCGGCGCTCAGGGAGCAGTATTGGCCAGAAGGATGTATATTACCTAAGGTAAATAGTGCCTTATAGTATAAAGAAAAAATCTCACTGTACAGAGAGCATAAAATATTTTATCATAAACAGTGTCCATTTTATTATTTACACCTGTACAGTTTATTACAATCCGACAGAACTGTTCTGCCATAAAGTCAACTTTTATGATGCCAATAACATTCAGTTTTTGATGAGGCTTTAATTCAAATTATATGTTTTAGCACTGAGGTCATAGGGTGTGGTGGTGCTATACTGGACTGTATTATACTGAGAGGTGATTCTAATATTCTGCTCCCCTCATGTATATAAATAGAGAAGATAAACAAACAGAAACACCTCTCAAAATAATGCAGTCCAGTACACCACCACCTTAAACTATGAACGCAGTTGTGAACATTTAATCGAATTTACACATTTCTGACAATGTCAACAAAAAGCAAATATTATGCACTTTGTAAAGGTAGAATCTGTGGCAGAACTGTTGTATTGGATTGTAATAGATTGTACCAAATAATGTAGCCAGTAAGTGTTTATTTACTTGATGCTCAACAATGTTGGTGTTAGTGTTGAGATTAAGCTGATTTTAAGTACTTTCTGACACTGCTTTTACTATTTGCTATTTATACCTTTAGTAAGTCAGTCAGATAACCTTGTGTGTCAGGGCTGGGCAATATGACAAAAACAATCAATAAATTAACTGCTCATATTTATCTCAATTCATAAATGGATAATTTTAATACGTTAGGGATGAACTACTAAATATTTCCAGGCTCAATGATCGATGAAGAATTTGCTGCTCTTTTCCTCTTTTATATGGTGAATCGATGTGGGAACTTGTATTTGCTTGTGTTTTTTACATTTTATAGGCTGTCAATCAATCAATAAAAATCAAAAGATAAAACAACAATAAGGTTGTTGGTTACTCTCTAGGGATATTACAATACCAGATATTTGGTAGTTGGTACGAATACCAGTGAAATTCCACGATTCTTAAGCGCAGCAAAAAACATAAAACAACAGAGGTCGCGTTGTTTCCTGTACCTGCTGTCATTCCGTGTGTTGTTGTTATTGTTTACTGTGCCTGCCCTCTTCTTCCAGTTTGATGTCAGACTAGGACGCTGGTAGGGTTATTATACTGCCCTCATCAGTCTGAGAAGAAACATCTCCAGTACCTACGACATCTACAGTACCTTCAGTACTTACAGTACTCTAGAAAAACAAGTACCGTCACATTTTCAGAATACTGGCATCAACTTGGTACTGAAGTATCAGTTTTCATAACATCCGTACTAGTTGCAGCCCTGATAAATAAGTTTCTCGTCAAGCTCTTTGTAGTTGTAAATGTTTTTCTCCTTCACAGTCCACAAGGTGATCGAGTGAGAAGCAGAGTAGAGCTGGCTTCGGTGCTGGAGGGACTTCTTGACTTGACAACCTTTGAATACAAGTCAGGAAAGTTCTACGATGGCGAAGCACCACCCATAAGAATTCGAAACAGAGCAAAGGTATTGGCCTCTTTTATCACTTAAAACTTTAAAAATGTGTGTGTCTGGCAGTAAGTTTTCCTTACTTTCTCATCCATTAGAGAAAGATCCGGGAGCGTTCTTCCTCAGAGTCCAGCTTTGTAGAAAGAGGAGAGGGCGCCGACACGCCAGACTCTCACCACAGGCTCACCCCCAGCCTGGGCCCCAAAAACGTCAACCCCAACCAGACAGGCTTCTCCTCGCACAGTACAGTGGGAACACCAAACCAAGTCACTCGTGATGAGGATCCGCCAGTGGAAGATAAAATTAAACTTCCCCCTCCCTCATCATCCAAACCGCTCCCGCTCCCCTCCATAAATGGAGAAATTGGGTCAGAGGACAGCACTCTGTGAGTCCATTACTTCAGTTCATATTTCAATTATTTAACCATGTCATTAAAACTAGTGATGTAACTAACTTGACACTTGAGTACCTCCAATTAACCATAGGTTTATTTGATCATATTTCCCTGCAGGGTCTGTGCCAGATGTGGTATTTCCTTCACAGGCACATGGTATGACAAACAAAGGAAGAGGCCCTGTTGTCCTTCCTGTTGGGGTATGTCAGTGCATGCATTATACTATATAATGATTGTAATGCCAAACTAGTGTCAGAAATAAAAGACACACCTTTTACAGTTGTACTCATCGTATGCTGTTTTATTTATTTTGAATTCCAGCAGCCTCAAAGACAAAGGAGCATCCGATGATTCGTTTCAGAAAGGTAAAGCATTGTCTGTGAACTGGATGTTTACATGAACAGCTACATTTTAGCCACTTCAACAAGCCAAAACTTCAGCACATGGCCCACTGGAAAGTAATAATAGAGTAATAAAACCATGGATTCAGAATTCCAACAGTGTGTGAATGTGTTGTGTATAAAAGGACAACGACTGAACATTTTAATCACTTTCGGCTGTGAAACGTTTTTTTCATCCGGTGTGGAGAAAAGGTGCAGGACAAAACGAAAATTCATATTAAGACGACAAGTTTACTGTATGTTTTTTCCAGAATTATGCTGCTGATGGATGTTTTCAAATGAAAATATAAACAAAATCTGCCTTTTTATTCCTGTTCATGTCAACTGTAGTGGATACCTTGTGGGCAGTGTGTGGGATGCCACAACACAATGAATTGTGGCCAATGTGCCAACTGCAAGCATGGCCTGCAGAGCCCTGAGTCCCGGAAACGAATATGCCGCAAGCGCAGATGTGTATGTCCTATTCGCAAGGTAAGCTGCCAGGTACACAATAGTTATTGTTTACTTTGGTGGTTATTATTAATGTTACTTTTACATTCATGCCTTTTGTTTCTGTATGTCACATCAGGGCCCTGGAGGTGGAGGCTTCCTGCCACAGAGGCCTTATAATGACATTCCTGAAACCTATGATGACTCATGCATGAGTTTTCAAGTAAGAAAAGCTTGTGTACTTCATTCAGTTGTGCATGTTTACTGTGTTTGCTGGAGGTTCGGGGTAAATTCCCTGTTTATCATGTCACAACAACCTTTTTTTTCTGTGCCAAATTTAAAGCCAAGTTTCCACTGTTTGGTTAAGTTAACATGTAATTTGGTTATAATGTAACTCTATTTATAGAAGCACAAATCTGTCAAATAATATTTTATTTATTCACAGATTTACAGTCTGGGTCAGACTTGTTTCAGTTATTATTTTTAATTATTTGTTTAATTATTATTATTATTATTAATATTATTATCATTAAATACTCAAAAAAGTTTAAATATACTGTGTTGTGATTCCAGTGTTAACAGTGTAATCATGCACTGCGACTTTGACACTGAAAGATTCATTTAATTCATTTCAATTCTTAACACCTGTTTTATTTTACAGAGTGAAGTTACAGACTCACAGGTAACCTTTTGTAATGTGTAGTGCTCACTATTATTGCTGTAACTTTTCCCTTCACTCTCACTGATAATGTTTTTTGGATGCAGCTCCCGAGTCTCAAAAACAGCGACACAGAGAACTTCTCAGTGAATGTGGACGTGGATGATGAGGATGATATGTCAACTGATGATGACGATGATGTGAGTGTTTTTTTTTAAACCCACCTTCCCACAAACAGGAAGACATGATTATCTTAAGCGATACAGAATAAACCATAGTTTTGCAACAATGGTCCCCTGCGCCTCTTTGAATAGTGACTGGTGAAAGTTGACAATTTTTTCCTTCAAAAGGAACATAACTGTGGCCAGGCTGAATTCATGTCAATTTCTGTGAATCCAACACTTTTCATGGTGGGAACCAGTGATCAGAACATTCACAGACTTGGCTAAATATACAGTTTTAGTTTTGGAAGAATAACCTACATTGACCATTCACAACAGTGGCAAACTGATTTTTCCAAGGCTGGGTCTTTGGGTTTTGACATAGTTAACAGATGAATAGGTTTTAAGAATGGGTGTGTGTGGTGCACTGGCCAAGTTTCCATCCAGTTGTAGTGCAAATTTTACCGAAAATCTGCAAAAGAAAAAAAAAAAAAGAATTGATGTTTCCATCCACTGCTGTCTCATAATATTACGATTATTATGTGAACTCAGGAATTATTTTAGTTTGTCAGTTTCTCCATGGTGATGTGGTTTGTCAAAAGAATATCTTTCATGTCAGCTGTTATCAGCATCAAATTTTCCTTTCTCTTGCTATTTAGTTGACAAAATTATGCAATTATGGCTCATTTGTTTCATAATACTTTTTATATCTGTGCTAAGTTCTCTAATGATTCTTGTTTACAGTGGCATAAGAAGCGGAAGCGTCGCTCCTGCGGAGAATGTAAAGCCTGTCTCTGCAGGAAAGACTGTGGCACGTGTGATTTCTGTATAGACAAACCCAAGTTCGGAGGCAGCAACAAAAAGAGGCAGAAGTGTCGTCTGCGGCAGTGTCAGAGACAGGCAATGGTGAGACCACACCAATTTTTTTATGAATTAGTTGTTTCTTTTAGTAATGATGCAACAACGTTGGATTTAAATGCTTCTGTGCCTGCATTTGACAGAGACACTTACTACCCTCTCAGATGGGACAAGGAGAATATGGGCCAGATGGCCCAGTGCTGCCGGGCAGGCCTCGACCTCACTACACATACAGTCGCAAGTCAGGTTTAAAGAAAAACAAAGCACCGCACGTTGGCTTGGACTTTACCGACAATGAAGATGATGACTGTAACTTACAAGCAGTGAGTGCACAAAGCCTTTGTTGATTAAATCTTGAAGTGAATGTTTTTTAAAGAAATTTGAGTCCTCCTGCAGACAAAACATTTGATAAAAGGTTCATTTTCTCATGTTTTGCTGTTGTAGATGAGTTGGAGCTCAGAGCCAGCCAGTGGTAGCAAACACAATGAAGTGAATGTGAGAACCCACCAATCATCTATGCAGGTTTGAAGATAGATTCTTATCTGCACATTTTTGGCAGCTAAAGCTAATCTCCAAACCAAACAGAATGTCAACTTCATTTTGTCTATCGGCAGTTGAATTATTCAAATTTCGGACAGAGGAATGGACTGCCTGACAGAGTCCCTCACATCGGCAACCATAACAACTGTCAGCTAGTAAGTTTACATTCTTCCTCTTCTCTTGTTTTGGTAATAATGCATCTTTTTCTCTGCATTAGGAAGAAAAAAAATGCGTTATATTTGTAATTGGTAGTAGTGTGTCTTGTGATGTCCCACAGCTCTGATGTAGATATTTGCACTTTCTGGCTGGCTGTAGACCTGACTGATCATGAGCCATCATGGCCGTCTGTTTACACTTCCCCTCACAAATGCTTCTGGCCCGTTGTCCATTTCCGTATATTTCTGTTGTCATGCTGTTCTTTGGCCTGTGGCTCTGGCTCTGCTCAGTGATTCCAGGCCTGGATCCAAACCCTGTTTGACCAGTTTTTTAAAACTGTTTGGTCATGCCATCTGCATCTCTAACTCTTCCATTCAGGGTTGATTAATCTTTTTGTGTCAGGTGTGCTTGTGTAGATTTCTGTTGTCTTGCCTCATGTTGGAGTGGCATGTGATGGCACACAAGTAAAATTTTTAGGACATTTTTGTCTTTATTGGACAGTTTGACAGTGCAGATACAGACAGGAAACATGAAGTGAGAAAGAGAGGGGTATGACATGTGACAATGGCCCATGGGGATGTTGCAGTTATATGGCATGCGTCTTTACCAGTTGGCACCAGGCCACTCACAAAAGTTAATTTGATATCCTTGTAATGGAGGCATATCGCTGCCAAGTTGTTTGCTCTTTCTACTTGTCACCCCTCTCTTCTTGGCCGTCCTTCAGTTTGTTCTTGTGGTCACTTGTTTTGCCTTTCACTTGATCGCATGAAAATATCTGATGCTCCAAGACACATTACCAACACTGGAGCAGTCAGTCACTGTGTTATTTGAGACTCACCAGTATAAACTAATAGTAGGAACTAGGGCAGATGTAATTTGATCATTTTTTGATCAGATCTTTCTTTTTTCCCAGTAAACTCTAATCTAAGAAGAAAAAGATGTTCTGCACTGTCTGATAGTATCATGAACAGATGGGTGACACATTAAAGGAAAAACGTGAATAAATGAGTGGAGAAACGCAAATGCTCCAACACGGATGCACTACATGGTACAATTAAGCAATTTACATGTAGCAGGAATAAAAATGCTGAGCAGCCTCAGTTGACTGTGATTTTGTATGAAGAGGAAAAGATCTAAGTGACTTTGAAAGAGGGTTCATTGTTGGGGCACAGATGGCAGCAGCTTCAGTCAAAAAGATGCTCAGCTGGCTGAACAGTGACTAAAGTGACATCTGCATTTAGATTTATGAGAAGACATCAGTAAACAAGGTCAGAAATTGTGGTCGACAGCACATTTGATCAGCATGACGTTCATGCATTAGTTTGATATGTAAGGAAAAACAGGAGCAGCTCTTCCTCAGGAGACTGAGAACGTCAAGACGTGATCAGACTGTGTCAGCAAGAACAGTCATAGAGAGGGATATTATAGTGTTTCAGTGCATAAACCCCTCATCACAGAGATAAATGCACATGAGAGTTCAGTGGTGTAAAAACCAGAGACAATGGTCTACAGAGATGTGGGGAAAAGTGATATGGTCAGATGAGTCATCTTTCATCGCATTCTTCACAAGTTGGCGAGAGCATGTGTGGTGTACACCAGGAGAACAGTACGGGCCTCAATGGTTGACCACTACAGTGAGGGGATCTGGTGGCTCTGTTATGGTGTTGGGAGGCATTTTGCTGGGATGGTTTGGGTCCACCTGTCCCCTCAGAGCGAAGGGTCAATGCAAATTAATACAATGCTTTTCTGAGTGATCACACTTCATCACTTCATCCTGTGATGAAACATTTCCATCCTGATGGGAGTGGTCTCTTCCAGGATGACAATGCCTCCATCCACAGGGCACGAGGTGTCACTGAATGGTTTGATGAGTATGAAAATGATGTGAATCATATGCTATGGCAGTCACAATCACCGAGTTCAGAGACTTAGAGAATCAATGCTAACGAGAATGAAGCCATTCTGGCGACACGTGGTGGCCCAACATCTTACTCAGACACTTGATTTTGGTTTTTCCTTTCACATATCATATCATATCATGTGTTATAAGAGGTTAAATGGTTCTTGTCGCATGCTCCACTGCTTCTTGCAAATACAAAACTCCAATGTTTGTTATTTAGTATTGTGTGCAAGTAAAGGCTGTGGATTTTAAACAGTAGAAAATATTCTTTGTTTTACTGCAAATACTGATGGTGAAAAAATTCTGCTAGTCTCTAGTATTTGCATCAAATACAATGTTTTGAATGCTCATGAAACAGAAATATAAAGTCACTTGGTTTGGTGATTTTAAACAGCAAAAAAAATAAATCCCATGCTAAATCCTAAAAAATCCAGTCTTGAACCCACTTCAGGCTGATGAGACTCCAACTTACTTTCTGCTCAGCAGCCAGCAAATCAGCTAGCAAATCATCTTGATCTTCTCTGCTCTTCATTTGCCATGTCTGCAACCTATTGTCTATATGAACAAAAATATAAATGCAATATATACTGTGACAAGACCCTGAGACCCATTGTCGTGCCATTCATCTGCCGCCATTGCCTCATGTTGTAGGGTGATGTGCACAATTCCTGGGAGTTTAAAACATTGCAGTTCTTGCATGGCCTACGTAGTCACCAGACATGTCATCCATTGAGCATATTTGGGATTCTCTGGATCTGCGTGTACAACAGCATGTTCCAATTCCTGCCAATATCCAGCAACGTCACGGAGCCATTGAAGAGGAGCTGTCCAAAATCTTACGGGGCCACAATCAACAAAGTGATCAACTCTGTGCAAAGGAGATGTGTTGCACTGCATGAGGCAAATGGTGGTTACAGCATATGTTAACTTGTTTTCTGATCCACAACCCTCCTCCCAAACAAATGCACATCTGTAGCCCAAGCCATGTGAAATTCATAGTTTAGTGCCTAATAAATATCTTTTTTCAAAATAAAACTGCACATTTTAAAGTGGCCTTTTATTATGACCAGCCCAAGGCACACCTGTGCAGTAATCATGCTGTGTAATCAGCATCTTGATATGCCACACCTGTCAGGTGGATGATTAATTATGGCAAAGGAGAAATGCTCACTAACTGTCTTTGCAAAGACAATATGAGAGAAAGAACGAAGCCTTTTGTGTGCTTAGAAAAGGTTTAAGATCTTTAATTTCAACTCATGAAAAATCAAAGTAAAAATAACAGAGTTGTATATATATTTCTGTTAAGTGTACATTATCCACATAAACAATATTTTTTCATGCAAGACATCAAACGAACATCAGCTCACTACAGCTGCACAGGTGTACAGCTTGCATGTATTCCACTCAGTGGAGGTGCGGGTACATCCTAGTGTAAAAGGCTGGGTTGTTATTAGAGATTTATATTTATTCCAAGATTTCATGGAAGGTTCATGATCTATCACAAATCATTTTAAATTCTACATTTGACTGACAGGAGTTGTAGTTAAAGGTTTAGCTCATGATTTCACCCTCATCGATCCAGGAGCAGCTAAGCAGATGGGATGCAGAGAGATTGCACGCAAGCAGAGATGGTCAAAAGCATGTTGAAGAAGAAGAAGAAGAAGAAGAGGAAGAGGAAGAGGAAGAGGAAGAGGAGTTGCCCATGGTAAGAATCCTTCTGAGAGTTTTCTCATCAGTTCTGTGGTTAACAACAGGGAATGTAAAAACATTTTGTGTACTTGTTTTCATACTGTTGTTGTCTACAGATCACACAGATCTTCAGTTTGGCTGATAACCCAGCAGGAAGTGGTGCCGATGTAGAAAACCAGCTAATGAAATTACTACACTCTTTGCGCTCCTCTGTATTGCCAATCCTATGGTATGCCATAATGGTGGAGGGCCCGCAGCTGCAGCTCATCCAGTGTTCGAAGCAGTCCAGCATGACCGACACCATGGTGCTGATCGACCCAGGCTTCTGCTATCAGGTCACCGTCCAAAAGCAGCCGCTGCTCCCCACCCACTCACTTTACGACAACTACCCACAACATTTAACCTCTGTAACTGAGGTGGTCAATCTGCTTTTGGGCCTGGAGAAATACGTCGTGTGCCAGGGTCTGCCCCCCAAAGAGCCATTACTTAACAGAGACCCAATCATACTGGAGCGGGCATCAACATGTGATTTCTTGGTTAAGAAGAATGTGAGCATCTGTATTAACTGCAGAGCACTGCAAGGACTTTAACTCCAGCACAGACAGAAGGAAATCTCTGACCACGTTGGAAACCATAGATTTTCTGGTGCAACTTCGTGCCATTTATTTCTTTTGGTTCCGTTATAGGTTTTTTTCCATCAGTTATTGTTTTAGGAAGTAACATATATGACATTCTGCAGCTTTACCTCTGGACTCTAATAGTAAGATTTGATGAATCGAAGAATCACCAAAGGCATTCCAGGAGCTGTGACATTACAAACCAGGAGTGGTTCTACCGTTGTTGGTTGGTTATGTCAGAGCTTGGGTTGAGTAACGGTATGTAGAGCTGAAATCCATGTGTGAGCCAGGAATATACAGTATATTCCTCACCCCCTTCCATTATAATTAATTGAGTGGTAGTTAAATCCCAAATTTTTTCTTTCAGCCCAAAAATAGACCAGAAATTCGAAGTAATCAACCCACCTTATCTTTTCACCAGCAACACTGGCCATCACAATGTTGTCTTGCTACCCATGTACTGTGAACCATATTTAATTAAATCGAAAAGCAGACTCAAGTTTTTTTTGGACAAAATAAGTTATTTTTGCATCTTGCCCGCATTTTCCATTTTATAGTAAATTATATGATCAATACATGACTTGCACTTGCTTTATCAGTATTCGCTTTACTTTAAGCATTTTGGTGATTTTCTTTTCTGGGCACTTCTGGTACTACCTTAATGTTTAAACCTACATTGTTGATTCTATAAGTATATTCAGACAAAAAGGAGATGCTGAAATATGCCTTGTATACTATACTCTGATTTAATTGGACAGATTACAGTGTGTATATAAACACATCCACCCCCTCCTGTGAACCACCTGTGAAGTTTTTCATCATTTGGTTCCAAAGGTCACACAATATGATTTAACATATTTACAACAAAGATACTGAAAAGTACCAATTGAGAAGGCTACAAGAGCGTTTTCAGTGCACTCAATATCCTGTGAGGCATAAAGGTCAGCCATGATGACCCACATGGCTCCATGGCTGAGACTGTGTTCAGACAACAACTGTTGCTTCAACAGTTGCAGCTTTATGTTAAGAGGCAAAGAGAAAGCCACTGTTAAAAAACACTCAGGACATCTGAGGTGGTGGTCGCCAGAAGACATCTAGAAGACTGAAAGTAAGTCAATGAAGGTTCTGTGGTCTGATGGGCTCCTGAAGCCCAGACATCACTTCTTTCAAACTTTTACTGCTCCCCACATAACCTGACATAACCTTCTTTGCAAAGAATAATAAGTACCTCCACATAGTGCTGACTTGACAGGGGTTAAGCTTTTTTGTAGTTTGTGTTATATACAGTATTTGTAATCATGTAGATTGAATTGATATCAGAGTATTTTTCAGATTTAACTTGTCAAAAGCCTAATTGTGTCCAATCTCACCCTATGTTTTGAAAATAAACAAAAAGAATTTTTTTTTTAAGGCACTGCATTTACAAGAAACATTTCAAAATGAATACATCTGTCTTAGACTAATTCTAAGCAGAAACCTGAGAAAAAGGTCACAGTCGTCATAATATTTCGGCGGTGGAAGCTGCTTTTGCACCTAGCAAGACATATACTGGTTTTGACTGGCAGTTACAACATCTGAAATTTGCTTAAACATATTTTCCAAAATTATATCATTTGTTGTGGACCAAAGTCATTGCGTGTCTCTCCATTTCTGGTCTTGAGTAGTATGATGGTAGCTCATGTTGCATTTCAAGTTTTTTGCAGAATTTTGTTGAAATTGTGTAATAATTCAATTCCCCATTGACTATTAATAATGTGAAAGGTTATGCATTCTTAACATATATCAGATTTATTTTTGTTATCTTGGTTTCCTCAAGTAACTGTGCAGATTTTTAAATGTCTGGGATCTGTTGATAATTCTTTTTAAAACTATTGTTATTTAGTCTTTGAATTAAAACATGTTTAAATAAATGAAACAGATAGTTTATTTCCTTGTCTTTGTCTTTTTGAAGGCAGGGTGCAAATAAACTGTTGTCGCTGACTCCCTTTTCATTATGTTTATCAAATAGGTCTGATGGACTTTCTACATCTGAGACATCCTGAGAAGACCTGTGGTCCATCATGACCTGAGTGAGCAGAAGCTTCTCTGGTGCCCTCAGTGTAGTTGCTTTTCAGCAGCTTGTTGTGTAGCCATAAACATCAGTCATGCATAGATGTTCTAAACAAAAGGGATAGCTCCCTTTCAGTCCAAGAAGGGTTTGTTTTTTTTTGTTTTTTTAATCTTTTATTTATTTGGTAAGAAAATGAAAATTGTTATCATGTTAACTTTCATTTTGTGATTTATTTTCTGTGATTTGGACTGTACAATATTGTTTAATAAGGCTTACAAGCATGTACAAGTAACAGAAAGTTATTTTCAATAGCATGTTTTAATTATTCTCAAATACTACTGTATTTCAACTAATTTAGTATATATATACACACATCTGGATGTACAAGGACAAAGCACTTTAATCCACATTTCTGTACATGTTGCTGTTAGCATGAAAGCTAATTTGAGCTGTTTTGTACTGTTTTTATACATATGTATGATAGTTTTAGCTTTTCCTGCACCTATACTAAATATCTAACTATTTTAAATTGTCTTAAAAGAATAATTGTGAATAATTGTGTAGCTAACTCTCAGGGGAAAGACCGCTTGAGTGTTACACGCATCAATGCATGCTAATATTTTTTTTTTTCTTACTACTCAGCGTCATTGAGCGCGTGCCTATGGAGCGACGGGACAACAATATTTGTATGACTGGATCAAGTATTGCACACTGAAGGCATGTAACATCTGGGAGGGGCAGGACTGCTGTGACAGCGTTGAGTTGGTTGGCTGTCTGGGTAAAACAGAAGGTTTTCATCCGGTGCAGAAGGGAAACCTTTCTTCTCTCAGAGCAGGTCTGCTGAGATGCGCAGGGCTCCGACGCAGCGGAGGTCGCGAGGCTGCTGGTGAATTACAATTGGGATGCGAAGCCACCATGAACCAGAGGCTTTTTTCGTGTATTACGAATTACTGCTCATTTTATTGATTAAGGCTGTATTCTTGGGATGATTTCATCCTGTGGTCCGACGCAGGAATGATTATTTTTTTCGGCTTGGTTGTGCTACACAGGACCGCGGAGACCTCCGAAGGCATCGGTCATGCTCTCTGGTAAGAGGGGATTCTGCTCCAAGATGTCCTTCTAATCCTGAATGGGCGTATTAATGAACAGCCGTGGACACAACCTATATTCTCTGTAAAAATAGCTTGGCCTATATAGGAACTCAGTAAGGTGTTATTTGCTACTGTGTTTATTATTTTTATTGACGCGCATTCACCTAAACGTAAAAACCGAGTTTGTCATGGTGTCAGTCAGTGACACACCTGCGATGTGTTATTGCTTCCGTTAATTAGTCCAGTGTGTTTCATGATCAGCCGGTGCTGCCGTCTGCAACGACTATGCAGATAGAGGATGGCTGCTGTTGCTGCCTCAGAAGCCGGGCTTAATGTGGGAACACATGCTTTATGCTTTCCACTCTGAGTTAAATAACACGGCTGTAAATTTTAATGCAAGGACCGTACAAAATGAAATCCATCATGTGCCCTCCATTTGTGCTTGTGTTGCTTTCCAGCGCCTGTAAACAAGAACACACTGTTTGTGCGGCACGTTCATTAAAAGGCAGGAAATGCCAGGGTTGCAACTGTATCTGCGTGAATTCAACGGGCTACGTTAAAGGAGTAAAAATCTGTGTCATGCTTCTTGGGAATACACAACTTCTCCCTGTTGCTGTAATGTTGTGGAGCAAAATAGGCAGAAGCATGCTGTTACTGCTGCCTGCTGGGCCTTATTGATTTCACTGTTCTCATTTATAAATACTGCTTGTTCTCATGCAGCAGTGCTAAGCCCTATTATTAACAGATTCCTGAACAAGGATGTCTGTCTGGATGTGAAAAAAAACCCCATCCAAATGGGTTGTGTGGGTCAGTCAGTGCCTTCAGGGTGATTCACTGCTAATCCACCTTTTGGTCTATCTGGGAAACACCTCTCTGTTTTCAGAGGAGGATTTTCCTTTTTTGCTGTCCAGCATTTCAGAAAGTGCTGATTGTTCCTATTTTGGGGTTCTTGTATTTACAGGGGCTTTGAATTCATGGACCATTAGGCCATTTGCAAAGAGGTTTGGTTTTGCTGTTTTATTGCAGAGGAAGTCAAGACACCATTCATGCTCGGTTTCATCTTGATCAGGGGGTCTTTGACACATGTTGGTGTTTGTTTTCACTCCTCTCTCTTCACTGTTGTTTTCAAATTGTTATCATGACACTCTACTTTTCTGTAAGGAACTCCCTGTGGTTTTCATACTGCTTTGAATGTTATACTTCAATCAAACACTGAAATTGGACCCTGACCCAGATTGGATCAAATATAATAGTATTCTTCTGCCACTGTGTTATGTCAAGGTGACACTGCTCCTTTTATGATACCCTGAAGGCATGGACTGACATGATTTGAGCATCTGGTTCAGTCGTAGCTGACTGACAAGCGTGTGTTTAGAGGGCAGTGTGAAAAATCACACACCTCTCACCAAACCCTTTCACCTGGACATTTGCACGGATTTAAAATGATAATGCGCTTTTGGCTTCATCTAAAGTGTCTTGGTGTTTAGTGTGTGAGCTCGGGGAATCAAGTCCCAGACCTTATCAAGTGTTGAAAATATACCGGAGCAGTAGTGACATGGACAGGAGAGAGAATTTACTCAAATTTCCCCCAGTTATAAAGAACTTTAAGCGCTTAGAAAAATCAGACCAGACTGTAGTGCATGTATAGTAATGAATGTAACTGCACGGCTGTGGCTGCACATCATAAGCAGCTCTGCAATCCCTTCAAAATCAACAAAGCGGATTACAGCCACAGTGGAACATGAAAACAACTCTGGAATACATACAGAAATCCCTCCAGGTGTTACAGAGCAGAGGGAAAATGTATAGGAATAATCCCTTCGGACATTAGAGCCACATTCCTTTCTTTATTACTCCCCCCACTTCAGCTTAGCAGAATCCAGGTGGATAGCAATCACCAAGATTGCTTTGTTTCACCCGTGGTACTTGTTTCAAACGTGCAAAGGTGAGCGTCAAGGCCAGGGAGGAGAAATGGTGAGCCACATGATTGGTCAGTCCGAGCTAAGCTGTCCTGCTGTGTGCTGATAAGCGTGTTATAAATCACTATTTCATGGATATAGAGAGCACATGAAGACATCATATTAGAGGATGGGGGTCACCTGACCTTCCATAAGCCCTCCACAATTCCTTGGTTGGGGTTGGTCAGGTGGAGGTAGTCCAGTGGTAAATCCTCTTCATGGCGCCTGTAACTGATGCTGACTGATCTCTTTTTCACATGAAACCTGAATTAGATGCCTTGATTTTTTTTTTTTTTTTTTATTTCTTTCAGATGAAAACATCTGGATGTTTACATTTCTATTCCTGATCCTCATCATCACCTCTTACCAATGGGTGTGTAACATCCTTGGAGTTTGAATGGCAGGGAGAATGTGGAGATGAAGGACAGGTTGCTGTTCTCTTACAAATAAACAAAGCAAGGTTCAGAGGAAGTGTTATCATGGCATGTCACTGAAGCCATTGTGAGAGCCCAGTATTAAAGCTACACTGTCTGTCGTACTACTGGCCTAGTTGTGACTCACGTAGGGACCTTCCTGCTTGTCTTAACAGGAGCTGTATAGTTGTAACCCTGCTCTGGTTACCATGTGTAAGTTCACAACAGCAGCAGCTGTGTCAACACTAACAGTCAACATGCGGGCTGCCAGCCTCACCTGTCCAGGGTGAGCTGGAGGTGCTATTTCAGCTGCTCTTTTACGTCTCAGCTGCTCCGTGTTGCCTGTTGAAAGAGAGTAACAAACATATTGTGCATCCATTGCCATTTTCAACGGAAAAGAGGTTGGCGCCGAAGCGTTTCCTGTAACATATTAAGAAACACTGAGCTGTAAGTCATGAATATATCTTTTATATAAATGCTGTTGACAACAGAAGCCTGTTCCTGGGACTCTTGGGCCAGATAAAAGCTGACAGCACGGAGAGTGAATCTCTTTAAGAGCCGGGAGCCATCCTGTTTATCAAGGGATGAGAAAACTGGATATAAAACTGTTGCCTGTAGAAATTTAGCTTTGCAATGAATGTTGCGTTCTAATATGTATGACTTCGAAGCTGAAGAGAGAGCCGTGCACTTCCTTGTGTGGACACGGTAGGATAGGACCTACAGGCTTCAGTGTTTAGCCTGCCGGACTTGAATATTAAACTCCTCTCTGATTTGCATTCGTGTGATGCACGCTGCACAGGGGCAGCTCACTCTCATTGCACAGCTCATGTTTTAATCAGCATGGCTCCCTCAGTGCTATCTATACCACCATCCAGAGCCTGCGCCTCATTCCCCCCTACACATGCTATGTCAACATGTGTTTGATGATTGTGTTGCGTTCATACTTCTCGTATTCATATCTCCTCTGATCCTTCCTTTGATGCCGTTCTTTGTGACTCTCTGTTTTTATCTGGTTTTTCATTGTCCCGCCATCTCTCCCGCAGGCCTCTTTCTGGAATGTGATGCAGTCTTGTGTTGTTGTACCTGTACCTGAGCACACATCTGCACACCAGATGTTTACTAGGTTAGTGTGTGACTTCTTGCTGCAGCTGATTGAGTCTCACTCTTCCTCCTTGTCATTCACTAAAGCGATTTTTGAGTTTGTGGTAATTTGAGAGAGCCTTATTTGGGATATATTTGGTGCCCCACTCTTACTACTGCAGTGTTTTTGTTCTGCTCTTTGCAGAGACCTCTTATCAGATTGAAGCTCATGTTGAGATGTCTCTCTTTTTCTCTTCTTCTGAACTTCTTTCTTTGAGTCATTTTTCTTTCTACAGGTGGTACCATTTCTGTTTCCATGTAGCTCTTATAACTGTTGCTGTTGGCTGTCTACTAAATTCATTTTCTGTTAATTCCAAACAAATAGCAAAAAGCTATTGTTGAACATTTTTCACAGATAGACCTAACAGAGTACAAGTAGCAAATGTAAAAGCTTTCATGACCTGGATTCACTGTAGCTTACACTAGACTAAACCTTTAATGCATCTAATGTCACATTGTAACCTACAATGTGACATTTGCTAAACAGTGGGCAATTATGGGATAATGGCAAATGCTAGAACATAGGATCAAGTGCAGCACACTCTGGCTGTGTCATGGCTACAATTTAGCACACTGTACACACACAAGCACAGATAGTAGTCCAGGTACAGTAGTCAGGACGTGCTAAATGTACTAAACTTACTGTTTTTTTGGAGAGTGGATGTGTGTCGACTCTGGAAATAGGACAGTAGCGTATCCTGACACTGCGTTGCATTTAGATGCCACTGGTGTGTGTTGCCCTGTAGAGAGGTACAGAGAGGAGAGTCATTAAAGTTCATTCAGAGCTAGTAAAGTCAGTGTCATAGTAATATCTACTTGTTAACATTTGCTAACATTAGCACCATTAGCTACAAGGCAGGCTGTGACGGTAAAACCACTGAGTGTATTGAAGTGAACAAAAGTGGGTTTTATGGTTAATGAATTTCAATGTTCATTGGTAAGAGGATGCAATTCAATCATTGCATCGCTTTAAATTACTCTGTTATATCAGTTATACCACTAAAAATGAAGCATAGTTAACCCAGAGGACTGACGTCAAGGGATTGTTATTTTTGTAAAGAGATGTAGGGTATATTTTAGAAACTGAAAAGGATAGCACCAAGTGTCCAAGGAAATGTTTTGGTTGCTGGACAAAGCCATTCTTAAGAGGTGTGGCAGTGTTTTGGCTGCAGCATTCAGCTGCCCGGCGACGGTCCAGATGAATATGTCTCTGTTGTCTCCACTTGACTGCATCTCTCTGTGAGTTTACTACTCCGCTGTTCAACGGAGCACAGAATGACACTGCCTGTACTTTCCCAGGTGCAATTCCTCCTCCATATATTAGATTAAGTTCAAATCTGATCACCATGGACTCATGGTTTTGTGTAACAGGATTCATGTGATGAGCTTTTGTCTGACCAGCGGTCGTAACTCTGCCACTTGTTTGTGTGAAAGGCTCCTACTTGTCTGTCAATGGGAGGTCAAGCACGCTGGGGGTTTTCACACGTACAGGAGCAAACAGCAGTTACTGGTTCAGCTCCAGGACAGGAGCCAACGCAAACTCAGTAGAAGTATTTCAAGTATGCCTTCACACAAAGTGAGCCTCATTCTTTATGTTGTGTGAGTGAGGAAAACAGAACTCTCTGTCTTACTGACTCCAAAAAAGCAAAAAGCTGGTCAGTTGTGAGCAGAGCTTTGAGACAGCTGCTCAGACTAACTGATAGATAAATGTTTCTGTTTGAAAGATGGGATGCTGGCAGAGGCAGTCTTTGGATGGGTAATTTTGATTCAGCCCTTGAGGCCTTCCATCTAGATTTGTGGGTTGAACGGAGTCGTTTTATGATTTACTCGACTGGCAAGGAGACAGCAAGATGCTTGTTTATGGCAGCGATTTGTGAGCAGCGTTGAGTGAGAGGCTTTTGGCAGAAAACGCTGTCGCTATTTTTGGATGTCAAGTCTCTATTGGGTATTAGGGTAGAGGCTTTGTTTGTAATGAACCTCCATTATGTGGGGGAAAAGTGCACATGAAACATTGCTCACTTGGTACAGCTGGGGGAAGGCAGTGTTTCTTGTCTACGGTTGTGAAAAGATAGTGTTAGTGTCAGTTTTCAGCAACAGTTAGATTTTTTTCTTCTCTTCAATCAAATATGTAAAAGCTATAACATAGTGAAAGCCCTATACAAAATAAATTTCGTGTAAAACCCTAAAATGTTTATGACAGCAGCAAAGAGAAAACTCCATTGTATATTGCATTTGTTCCTCGCCTCTGTTATTTATTCCATCGCTTTGCTTCTGGCTGTGTTCCTCATGCTCCCTCTCTTTTTTGTAGTCGTAGCTGTTGAGCTATTGAGACATAAAACACACAGGGCTCAGGTTTCTCCCACTCCGTTTCTCCCCATACATTATTAATGTTACTTATCCTGTCTCACTTTTTGTTCCCTTTCCAAAGTAATTGGTTGCTAATTGCATCTGAGAGCTAATTTTAGACCATTACTCACTTTTAAAATGCCTTACGGTGCAAGTTAAGTTGTGATGAGACTTTTGTTGAACTTTTGATATTTTAAATTTGTAGTATAAAAATGGCAGTGCATATTTTAAATACAGTTTTGTATATGGTCAAATCCGTGTTCATAGTGCTTTTAATTACAGTGGACTCACACTATTTGTTTCTGAGTTAGTATTTTTATTTTTATTTTTTTTTTATCTTTTCAAGGATTCAGCTCTAGATACTTGAGCAGAGGTGCAGTGGCTCCCCCTGATGGTACCTGGCGTAATCTGATCTAGGAGACACCCATGCCCATCTACTGCTGACTTGCAAGAAATGCACCAACTGACTCTCCACCTCAAGACAACATATGGCTGATACTGCAAGGTTAGCGAGAAAGAAACACCTGAAGCCTGAATATAGTTTGCTGATGCATCTCAGCTGCAGGTGAACCCCGTTTCTGTTTCACCAGGTGAGGACGTGGTTGGGAGTGTGAGTTGTAAAGTCCCCAGAATTACATCACATGGAGGTCAAAGGACATCTGATCACATCCATGGGTTTGGGGGCTCCCGGTGAGTCATAACGACTTCTCACAGTGTCGTGACGCACACTTTCATGTCTGGACAAGCCTGAAAAGGTCTGGCAAATATATCAGCTTGTGTTTTTTCTGACAGTTCAACAGAAAGAAAGCAAAAGTGTTTTTCTCCAAGGAAGAGCCAGCTGAAAAAACAGCTGTATGTGTGAAGGGCTTTTGTTCACGTACTGTCACCACAGCTGTCAGATAATCTTATCAGAGCACTGAGTTACTGTGAACACACATCACGTTGTTAGAAACAGATACTTTAAAATGCAACACTGGAAACATTAGCAAAAGATTTAATTCTTAAACTGTTTTTAGACTGTTTTAAACAGTAACGTTTCTTAACTTTCTTGATTCCTTCACATCTAAATTCCAGTGATTTGGCCTAAAATATCCAGTCTCCAGCTGTTAAAGGAGAAGTCTGGCATTTTTCTACAAGTTTCTCATGGTAAACAAACCCCATATTGACAACAATGTGTTAGTCCGTCTCTCAAAACCTTCTGACTTCCCGACCCTGTCAGTGGTTGTTAGTGAAGATGTGAATCTTTAAAGACGGGTCACAAATCCAAAGTTTCATTTTTTATTGATTTTTTTTTTTAAATGCTTAATTATTTTCCAGAACAACTGGGTGCTTCTGTTCTTAGTGAACTTTACTCAAACACAAGTTGTGCGTTTGTTTGTTAGCTTTGGACTGACTCAACATAGTTCAATGTACCACCAACATGCCACCCAGTGCAACGTCATGGCTCATAGATGTGTTTTAATAGGCTTTAGACAACAAATGACATGAGATGTGTTGAAAGAAAAAAAAAATGGAATATTTCCAGCCATATCCTTTGATTCCTCTGTCTCTGTCTGGTGTGTGATATGTTCTGTGATGTGTAGATGTTCAAGGCAGCCAGGACAACAAGCTGCAGGCTGAGAGGATCGCAGCTTTGCAAGAGAGGAAGCAGGCCCTGGAGGCTCTCCTCAACACCAGAGTGGGAGAGCTCAAACAAGTCTGTTTGCAGGAAGCGGTGAGTGGCTCTCACTTCAATTCTGAAACATTCTGTGTTTAAATGATAACTGCATTATTATTATTATTATTATTATTACTGTGTTATTACTGTGACTGTGTTAAATACAGTATATCTTTATATTGTGAAAAAATAAGAAATAAGAAAAATCTCAAATCCTAGATGCAACTGGCAACTTGGTGAGAATCAGTCGTGTGTTTTTTTTCTCATATAAAATGGGCTGCATATTAATATTTGCTCGATTGCTCCGGAAAGCTCGTCCGCACATGTTAATGAAGCGACAGCCGCCTCAGCTTTTCATTAACAGCTGTTTAACACTGTTTTCAGCTGGATGTATGGTGCCTCGCTCTGTCTCTGTATGTTTTATTCTTGGATTCACAAGTTGTCTGCTCTGTTCTTGTAATTTGATATGTAATCATGCACAAGTATTAATATATGAACACGATGTAGACGTGCCTTGTGTGCATTGGTATTTGTACTGTATAAATCTCCCAGCAATTTTCCTGCTCTAGCTCAGGACCCTGGCAGATGAATGAGCTTACAGCTGTGCACAGGATTATCTTGTGTTGATGTCTGCTCTGTTGTCAGTGTATCTATATTTGAATTTCACTTCTCAACTGCAGGTGTTATCCTGTTTCTGTATTTTTGACATATCCATTTCAAGGGTTTTATTGAGTCTTAGGGTAATTTATGAAGTGGTGGCACTTTATGTGACACTTTGGAGCTCATAGGCCAGTGAGAAGGATTTTAGTAACTGGAGGTTAATAAATGTCCTCTACAGGAGCTGACTGGGAAGTTGCCACGTGCTTTCCCCCTGGAGACGGGAGAAAAACCCCCACTTGTGCAGCGCAGGGCTGGCTTGGCGCCCAACACCAAGGCAGAGGTAAGTCAACACCTTGAATATCAATTGTGTTTACGCAGCAGCTGTATTGCTGTGTGTACTTGTGGTCTGACGCGGCCGATTGTCCCTGGCTGCAGGATGAGGCTGCCCAAAGAAAGCAGATGAAAGCCATCTTCACCGGTGCTCTGTACAGACACTCAGAATCGGATCGAAATGTCCCAAATAGCAAGAGGACAGTGCATCGGGGGTGTCACACAGGTATAATGACACAGCACTCACACAACTGAGATAAGTGAATGAAAACAAAGCCACCTTTTGTACATTTGCATTTATGTTTACCAAAGATATCAGATGTCCCGCTGCATTGTCTGTGACCTGGATGTTTGTTGTCTTTCAGAGGACACTGTCATGTCGGAGAGTACAAGCTCCATGTCAGATTCAACTTCCCATGACAATGGTGAGTGAACCGTGTACAAACTGTCTGTCTCTCTCTGCCTCTGGTGGATACTCTACTGTATATCCATATTCATAATGAGCTTAACTGAAACAACAGCCTGTAGGAACAGCTGAATGTATCTGCCAGTGTTTTCACATGCAAAATACATCGCTCACACTTAGTGGGTGGGGCGCTCATTTTCACTTCTGGTGTTAAGACACCAAATAATCACATTTCAGTTGTAAAACCAAAATAGCACCCTTGATTTGTTGTCATTAAAAGATAGTTTCTTTGTTTTTCTTTCTCCCAAAAGAGTCTTCTCCCAGCGTGGCCGCTGACCAGCGCTCTCTGTCGCAGCCCCGTCTCACTGTGGGCAGCCCTGACCACAGGATCAGCAGGAAACTGTCTCCAGTAGAGATTTACTACGAGATGAGGACACGCCGCAACTCTGTCACAAGCTCTGTGAGGTACTTATCTTAAAGTGAGCCGATGCTGCAGACTGTGCAGTCTGCTTGATCTGTCTGGGAGTGTACATATTATTGTGTACACATGCTCATAAATGCATCCATGTCCTCTTGTTGCGCCTCTCACAGCCCAACTCACTCGCTACCAAGAAGTGCGTCTAACGTTGAAGGTAGAAGTGTTCCAGCGACTCCTCTCCTGGCCCGAACTGCTCCAATCAGCGTTCATGTCCGGTAATGCACGGCTGCTTTTGTGTGATGCAGCAGAACTACAGCTCCCTCCCTCTGTGATAGCTGTGTGGTTGGAAAACGCTTAATGACTTAGTTTAACGCAGAAATAGAGTCAGGGTTGTAAAAACGATTAGTGTCATATTTAGCTACCAGCAAGGGCTCAAGCTTATCGTTTGGTCTTTGAGCATAAAAATATGTCCCTTCTTAAAGGATTTTCTGTGAAATGCAGTTACACGGTTTTGATTAAAATTGCCTTCACTCACTCTTTATCCATAGTGCTCAGAGTCCTCTCCTAATGTAAGCTGTTGTTGTGCTCTTGTCTCTGCCTTAGGTCAGATGCATCGGGCGGTAATGGGTTGAAGCAGTGGTCTGGCAGCCTGGATGTCCCGTATATGATTCCATTGGCCCCTGAGGGCTCATCCTCTGACCGCCGAGGCTGCCCGTACAGCTCCCGAGCCAGACGCAGTAACAGCTCTGAGGCCCTGTTGGATAGATCGAGTCTCCCTGATGATCCAGCAACCAGAAACGGGATGCCCCCCAGAGGAGGGCCCTACAAGAGCTCAGAGACGCTGACTGATGGAAAGCTGCGACACATTCACCTGGGCAGCCCTGAGAGACATGTGGACGGCTCTGTGGAACAGGCCAAAATGCGTCTGTCCATGGGCGGCAGAGGAGCTGGGGGAGGCTACAATGAGCTATTAATGGACTATATCTGGGGGAAACAGCAGAGGATGCAAGTGCAGCACCACCTGTACCAGTCCACAGGGAGGATCTGGCAGGACATGACCTCTCCTCGATCCTCCACAGCGGTGGCGCCGCCCCATGCCAACGGCTTTTCTCATTCCCAGGTGCATCTCCCCAGCGCTGCACCTCCTTACAGCCCCATGGTCCTCCGAGGGTCCCAAGCCGAGCTGCGCAGGGTCAAAGTCACCAGAACCAAATCTTGTGGACCCTTTATTCCTTTGCAGCAACATCCCCAGGATGCAATCCTATTATCAGCATACGAGTCTCCCCTTCCTGCCACTGGCACCACCACATCCTCCATCCCCAACCTGCACCCCTACCAGACTGAGCTGTCTGGCCCCTCCTTCAGTCGCAGACCCCCACAGTTCTCTCTTCCGACCCCAGAAGACTCAACCAGAAGCCTGCATAAAGCCCTGGCTCTGGAGGGACTGAGGGACTGGTACCTGAGGAATGCCCTCGGCTATCCACCTGCTGCCTCTAAGGGCCACGAGGCAGGGATCTCTCGCCTTTCACATCCCCACCCGCTGGTGCACCAGGCCCAGTCTGTACAAGGTGAAGCAGCCAACCTCCACAGGCCTCAGATACCCCAGTCAGCCAGCTTCCACGGTCTCCCACTGCATGGAAGGTCAGTACTTATGTTTTTTTTGTTTTTTTTTTTTTGTTTTTTTTTTACATTTATTATTTTAATTATATCTTAGCACTCTGTCTCTTGTACATGGTCTGTCTGTCTATTGGGAATCCTCACAGTGTTGTGAGCTACAGTAGAAGCTCGAGGAATTGAACTCTTTCTCTCATTATTGTTCATTGTTTTGTATTCGACAAATTGCACTGCACACAAGGAAGAAGAAACATACTATGACTTTAAGAGGGACATTTTGATTGTACTACACATACCAACATGCATGTTTGCAAATACAGTCACTGAATCAGTTTGTACTATTGAGATTTGCCTAATCATGTTTCTCCATGGAAGCTGGCAGCAGGTCTTCCAGCAGAGGATGGTGCAATTACCCTGTCACCCTGTCCCCAAACAAACAATCCATCTGTCATCCTGTGATGTTTACAGTTGTGGGTGTTTTATTTTTGTTTCTTTTTTGCATGGTCAGTGCTATCTCATGCCAGCATCCACACTTGGTTGTTTCCTGATCAAAAACACTCTCCTTCAGATACAACTCAGACCTCCATGAATTGCCTACAATGACCCATGAGGGACGAGAGTCATGTTTACACATACAAATGGCAACATGCATTAATGGGCCGCTTAATTATGATAGTATTTTTTCTTTCTTCCTTAATTTCATAGGGATTTTATGAAGTTTGGAGGGCGCCCCTCTCTAAGCTCCCTCATATTCTGACCATGATTCATACTTTTTATTTCATGAAGGTGTACTCTCTGTGGTTTTATGCTTCACTGCATGCCTCTTGTTTGTGGAGTGCTGTATTGATTTGTTTTGCCTCCCCCAACAGGTCGATGGAGTTCTCTCTGTATCAGGAGACTCCTCATCCACAGATGCAAGAGGTGACCCCAAAGGAACCCAGCGCAGACCCAGGCACCCTAGTCTGATGCAGCAGAACACACACATACACACACACACACACACACACACACACTCACACACACACACACACACACACACACTCACACACACACACACACACACACACACTCACACACACACACACACACACACACACAGTCACACTCTTACACAGACAAATTGATACAATGTGACCTCAATTGCAAAGCAAAACACGGCAACCTCAGCAGAAAGAGACTGGAATAAATGACAAACTGTAGCTGTGCAGTGTGAAAAAGCCTTGGCAAGTTCCCCGTGTTATAACTGATTCCACCAGTATGAAATTCAAACCCAGTGCTCTCATGTGGATGTGCACTGGTGTTGACTTACGGAGTATGTAACAACAACATGGTCATGCTGTATATCGATATTTCTGGTCCAACACGAGCAGTGAAGTCCTTCCTAATAACCCCGAAAAAGTCTCCCAAGATATACTTTTTTACAGAATATATACAACTCTAAATCACTATTTTGTATCTTCTGAGATATAAAGAACAGTTATACTAAAGAGGTAATTTATTGCTCATTAATCGCGTGATATACAAAGATGTTATATGAGCTCATGTCATTTGAAAAGTATTAATACATGCTGATGAATGTGTGTTTGTAAACTATATAAAACGCAAAAACAAGCTTCAGTCCTCATCTGCCATTAATTTCACAACCATTTGTATTTTTCATGTTTGATAAATGAAACAGGCCATGAACTGTAGCGTACTGGTGTAGCAGGACGGGAGTGCCTAAATGTTTTAATATCAAAACTAAACCTTGGTTAGAAAACTTTAAAGTGCTTTCTAATAATCTGAAATGCTAGCATTAAACCTCGGTGAGCTTAGTCCAATCAAAAACTGAAATCAGTTCACGATGTCACTAAATTAGGATATTTGGAATGATGTCATATATATTGTGATTTTTCTTGGTTTTGTTTTCTAGATTCAGCTCTGTGCTGGCTGATAAATGTAGCTTTCTCTGTGCTGACCTTGCCAGAATAATTAGACTAGTTTTAGGAAAAACCTGAGGGCTGTTATGAGACCTACTGTATGGCAGTAGCACATGACTGTATGACAATAATTTACACATATCAAATCATTTTTTTTCTGCATTTAGTTGTGGAGGATTTGAGTGTCATACAGAGCACTTTATGAACATCTTAAGCCTTAATTCCCTATGAAATTGTCACCATGACAGATGACAGGCAGTAGGAAGGTTCAGACAGGGTTTACAACCGGGCAAAGTAAAGTGAGTTTTGTCAAAATCTGCTGAAGGTCTATCTGAATGTTAGTCTGTATATAGCGTGGATTGTACTGATGAGTTTCAAGCTGATATTTTACTCCCATACTAACATTGTAATTTTTAAAACTAACCTGATAAAAAAGTATTTAATCACGATAACCTCCCCCAGTCGTTCCACCCCCAAGTGAGCACTATATAATTGGTTGTAGGAAGGGAGGTTGATGGTGTGAAGAGAATAGGGCTGCTGCAGTAATGACTGATGGTGTGAGCAGGTCTCATACCAGAAAATTTGTTTATGAGAATTGATGCTGGCTGATTTTTGTATTTGTAATGATTTCGACTCATTTCATGTGTTTGGTTTTTTGTGTTGTTAAAAAAAAAAAAACAACCTTTTTAAACATTTTTTTAAAAATCAGAATAGTTATGCACCATCATACATTTCTAAGTTGTTGTAACCAGAGTCTTGGTAGCATTATGCATTGTAAACATGAGAAAAATCAGATCGAGAAATAAACTCTTCAATGAAACTAAAAATATTTGTCTTGGTGTAAACAGAACTCAACATATTTTTTAAGTATTTTTTTTTCATTAATGTAATTGACCTTTGGCCATCTTAGGACTCATTTGAATGTAATTCTTTACGTGTGTCATAAGTGCTGTTTTTTACTCTGTTACAAGCTGTAGCACACCATGAAATGTTACCTGGTTTCTTCTGCTGTCTGATGTTCACATCCTCTCAGTATCCAGCTTCATAGAGCTTCTTTCAGCTGGTTAAAACCTGAAATCAAAGACCAAACTGCTGTGCACTGGGGGTCGTAAATGTATTTTTCATATAATGTACTCTGTAAGTTTAAAATAAATAATATAAATTTAGCTCTAAAGCAAATTTATTCAAACTATACTATATTTATGAACCTATAACATTTTGTAGCTATCTACTGTAGCTCTATCTCATCAGTGCAGGAATTGGTAATGTGTGTTAAAACCATTTCATTCAGCAGTGTGACGTGTTTATATTTGATTATTCAGATTTTTTTTAATTTTTTTTTTAGATATTTAAGTGCAGCTGTTTTCTCTTTCACTCCTCTCTTTATAACTAGGCCTATGAAATATAGGCTAAATAGGCCTGCCCTATACTGTATGTATGAGATTGTGCATTCATTCTACTTAATAAAGTGTCATGTTGAAAACAAAACATAGAATGTGTCAGACATATCTGTTTATTGTAAGACAAAAGGCCCTTTTCACAGCAGGCATTTTGACCTGTCAGGACAGGAGAAGCACAGGAGTAAATTTTACTGTTAATGATGGCTCTGTTCCTTTCCTATTAGTCAGCCATGTCAGTGAGCCAGCACACACACAGTTGCAGAGCCCTGAAACTATTTAAACTTAGTGAAGGAGCATTTTTTACATCTCTGTTGTCCTATCCTGTCATATCTCTACTGTCTGTAAGAAATACATAAAAATGCTAAAAAAAAAAAAAAATACGTAAATACGGAGGTAAAAGCATGCTTTGTAATGTTACCAAACTACCAAACAAAATGAGTGCTGTTGTCCATACAGTCCTGTCTAATCAGAAAAACTGAAAACACCTGTGTTGGTGGACCATGGGTGTGAAGGGGCTTCAAGATCATTTTTATGGTTTAGTCCTTACAGTAGTCCATAAATGGAAAACTGGTCTAATTAATAATCTCAGACGCACTTTTAAATAATTTTAAATCTATGAATTTGAAATGTTGCTACACAAGAGTAAGTTAATATTGTCATTCTGTGTATAGTATTTTTTTTTTCAATCTGTAGCATTGCCATAGTAACCTGTAGTGTTTCTGCACTATTACAATACGTTGAGTGAAATTTACAGTAGTTATATTACATGCTATTATGTTTGTACGTATTTTTCTTGGTAAGTGCAGGGTGTGCATTGCTTCTAAATGCAGTAATTGGATTAGGAAAATCAAGGATAAAGTAAATAGATAAATAGATAAGAAAAACACCTCCTCGCCACCTCTGGAAATAGAACTGGTCGCCACATGGTGAAAAATGTTGTCAGAAACATACCGTGCAGAAGCAGCAGCAGCAGCAGCAGCCGCAGCCTGCTATTCCTGGACCTGACTGTCTCACACACACACACGGAGCAGAGGAGCACAGCAGGGGGCTCTAATCCTCGTGCCATGATTTTTTTTGCACGTTACAAATATTAAAACGGGATATATCACTCAAAGGGGTAAGTAGTTGTTGAGTGTTTAGCACGTGCGAATGAGGCTCATTGTATTTTTGTACTCGTGTCATGTCAAGACCAGCAACAGGTACTGAACTTTTTTTTTTGTCCTCCATTAGTCCAAACGAGACTTCCGGCAAAACCCATCAAAATAATAGCACGTATGACTCGGTGTAACTGCGAGAGTAAAACGAGATACAAGTCAATTACATGGAGTATGCAAAATACATTTTTTAAAACAAGAAATATAATTGTTAAAAGACAATGCGGAACAAAGTTTAGCTAGCTGTAGAGCTGTGTCATAAACAGTATACAAACACGCTGTCCAAACAGCTGTCAGTAGTAAATCCAAAGCTACATTGAAGGAGCTATAGAGGGAACAAGGACTTTTTTCCCCTGCAAAGGACTAATCCATGCAATGTTGTCCGTTAAAAGTCAACACATTTGTTCCAAAAATATTGTTTACGTTGTAAAATGTTACTTCACTCAATTTTAAATATCCAGAAAAAATTGGCATCAATCAACTCAAACTGGCAACATGACCATTAGCGTGTAAAACTAAAATAATTCAAACTAATACGCTAACAGCTAAACTGTTAGTGCACAGTGGTTAAAGTGCATATTGTTTGCACTCTGCAAACTCTCAGGTTTTATCTAGCGAACAAATACCTATGTACGGCTGGAATTTTATTTTGAAGTACTTGTCTTTTTTTTATTTAATGTCATATCACTTGATCTCTTGTAGAAATCAGTACATCTTGCCAGTTCCATTATATAAAGTGTACAACCACACAAAAGTAAGCCTACCTTACCACTTATTGAGTACAGACAGAGCTGTCTGGAAAGACTGTAATTTCTAATAGTTTTACTGCCTTAACAAAATAATTGCCAGACATACAGACATAAAGAATATCTAGCCATATATCCCTTGAAATGATGAAATGATGAATTAATTTGAATTGCCAGCCGTTCATGTTTACAACTGTAGTGCCCACACTATGACAGTTTGTGTGGTTTCAGGATGAGTTCAGTTGCAGCTGGGTTAGTGTCAGAAGCTATTTACGTTGACATGCCATTCATCCAGCTAAAAATAAACATACACATTCACTGGCCCCTTTGAAATGTCATTGCAAACAACCCACTGCAATCAGCACAAGCTAGCAGCTAGAGACACACAGCCAGAAAGAACTCTTGTTTCAGACATGTAGGCATGAAGACTTCCTTCCATTTTTAAGTGTCCAAATACATTTTTGTTGCAGCTTTCTCCCTGAGTGCTGCTGTCACCTGGGCCCATCTGAGCTGTGCCCAAACTCAGCAGGCTCCAGTTAAACATGTCGTCATCATATGCTGCTGCTATATCAGCCCTTCTTTCAACCAGCTCTTCTACTTCACCCGTCAAACCCAATCTTGACCCCTCCCCGGGCACAACAGGGAGTCCTAAACCTTCCCTCAAGCCCAACAAACCCCCCCCTGCAGTAAAGATACAGGCTCATTCACCTGAGCCTCTGGGAACCTATGAGGAGCAACAGGAGAATCCTGCAGACTATGGCATAGGTAGGCGGCACCGATGCCAAACACCAACATGCTGTCTGAGATCTTTTCTTTGATGCAGGTGGCACATTTTGTTGCAGGTGGTTATTACCTTGTTGAGATTGGAGAGATTTTTGTTGACCGTTACCAAGTGGTCAAAAAGTTGGGATGGGGTCACTTCTCTACTGTGTGGCTGTGCTGGGATATGGAGTAAGTACAGATTTGGCCTTTTGACTTTTCATAATAACATAATAACATAATATATCATAAACATAGTAGTAGCTAACTACCATAATTGTTTGCATGCAGGAAAAGGCGTTTTGTGGCTCTGAAGGTGGTGAAGAGTGCTCAAACATTCACAGAGACGGCACTGGATGAGATCAAACTTCTGAAATGTGTCAGTGTGACCACACAGCTTTTCTACTTAATAATAATAAGTCATTTTAGCGTATTCTTACAATACACATTATAGTATACAATTGGACACAACCTGCATCTCTGACTGTGGCTTATATTATATTCATTAAATCATGACAAGTGCTAAGTCATGGTGTCATTCGATCACACTGCAAATGTCTTTAGCATCTTTATGTGTGATATCTGATCATCAGGTAAGGGACAGCGACTCCAAAGATCCTAAACGAGAGAGAATCGTGCACCTCATCGATGACTTCAGGACCTCCGGAGCAAATGGAGAGCGTATCCTTTACAGAGAGGAAATTGTTAAACGACATGATGTCCCTATGCTTTACCTTTTGGTGCAGGTATGACTTTTCTATCAAGTTGTTTTTAAATCCTTCTGTTCACAAGTGTGCCTGCATAGAGACAGACAGACCTAACAAAATGGTGGAACTTAAAATATTTGGATCATCTCAGTGGGTTTTTAGATTTCTCCAAATACCTGAGAGGCTCTGATGGTTTGAAACAAGGCCCTTAATTGCTCTCCAGATGTGTGCATGGTTCTCGAGGTGCTTGGCCACCAGCTGCTGCGGTGGATCATCAAATCTAACTACACTGGCCTCCCCCTGCCCTGCGTTAAGAGCATCCTCAGACAGGTACTGTGCAACCTTTTATTCCATCTTCAATCAGCCTCCCTGTCTTTCACCACTGACTGAGCTCTTTTTGTGAACAGATTATCTTCTATTTTTGCTGCTCAATTGACATGAGGTGCAATGACAGTGACTCAATTTTCATTCTTTATCACAGGTTCTGCAGGGTTTAGATTACTTGCACACTAAATGCAAGATTATCCACACAGACATCAAGCCAGAAAACATCCTGCTGAGAGTGGACGAGGTTTATATTCAGAAACTGGCGGCCAACACCAAGCTGTGGCAGCTGCCCCTGTCCTCTGCTATCACCAGCTCCTCAGGTTAGGGATGCTCTGTTAGTAATCAAAAAAATGCTATACTGATCCTCTGTACAATATGTCTAGGTTGAATTTTATTTCTGTATTTTTAACACTATGTGCTTCTTTTCCTTTGATGATGTTTTTACTTTCTGCCAGTAAACGGAGGCTCCAGAGAAAAGCAGGTTCGTAACCTGAAAATATGCTCTTTTCTTTATTATTTAATTCTTTTATTATGACATTAGTATTTCTTTTAAAACCACATTGTGATCTGTGCCTTCCTGCTATGACTTCTCAAGAGTTGGTCCAACTTTTTGGGGAAGCTGACTGGAGTTTTCCATACTCTTGGGGAGTGGGTAAGATTGATGTTGTGTTGGGTTTTTGCACATTAACTTCTTAATTGCATCTTGACTACATCCGAAGCCTGGAACACACCAGAGGACATGTAGGGAAGTGAAAAGGCGGGGCACTAGTCATTTAACAACTACCTCTGGGGGACATCACAGTAGGCGACCAATACCGTCACTTTGCCGTACTTTTTTTTACCCTATCACACTATGACATCAAAGAGACAGCTGAAATCCCTGAAGAATATTGTACATTTCACAGCATAAACTTAATATACTGTATTTACATGAAGCAACTTGTCTGGCTCATTAGAGTCAAGACAAATAACGAGCGGAAACAAGGAGTACTTACATATTTTTATTGGACAGCTCCTGTATTCACTAATAGACAAGTATCTATAAGTATCACTATTGGAGTCCAGAGATATATTGAAATAATGGAATGGCCTCTGACCATATTTGGCATGTTTCCATATTCTCTCATTACTCATGCTTTTGTTGAATTTCCGCTCAAACTTGCTTTCTCTTGCGTCATTATTATGTCAACAACAGGCTCCTGTAGCTCAAGTGGGTGGAACAGGGTGCGTCAGACGGGACACAAGCTCAGATTTTGATGTCCTTCTAACCATGTCCACTATAGTTTCAACATAGCCACTTGTTTGCATCCTACTGCTTTACAACATGTAGAGGAACAGATTCAAAATTCATTGTTAAGATATTAATACATGGAATTCATGCAAAACTCTGTAGGCTTATAGTAACTACAGACCATATGAATAGAAAACACCTGTGTAGGGAAAAAAACAATGACAATTTAGTGAGTGAATCAATGGCTCAAACACGCCATGATTTCATTCTGTAGCTCTATGTAAGATATCTTGTAAAAGAAGCCGATGAACGGTCATAGAGTACATGCTTCTTAAACATATATATGTGTGTTCAGTATATGAATATGATGAATGTGCATGCACTGCTGTCTGCCACAGTGTCTTTTTTTGATACTACCACCGCAGATATATTCAAGCCAAACTCAAAGTAGCTTTATTTTGCATGATTTGCTGCACTTTCAAAACAGGCATGAAGTTGTTGTGATGATTCACTGAACATTTTTTTTGAATTCATTTTTTTCAGTCCATGTTCTCTTTCTGAATTTTTCCTCACAACTGACTGCTTCCTGCAGTCCAGCAAGGTCTCCAGGAGCTCAATTAACCGACTGACGAGGAGAGACAGGAGTCGACGCGGACAGGAGAACACAGCTGACCACAAACAAAGAGACAAACCTCATGTGTCGTTTTCTGATGTCACTCCTCCCTCTAGCACCCATAGCTCCACCGGTCACTCTAAACTCACAGGTCCTAACCTCACGTTAAGGAGGCAGACTCTGCTGTTGGAGGACGGACTGGACTCAGCTCCACACAGTCACAGAGACTCCATCTGCTCATGGCCATACCTCAACACAGATGCTCCTGTCTCTGGCTCTAGATCAGTGTTATTACATCAGACTGCGGACAATGAGCCGCCTCCACCTTCATCATCATCACCCTCTGGTTAGTCTCATAACATTCGTGTTGTTTTTCTTTCCCCCGCTAAACTATGGTGTCTGTGACTATGACGTATGAAGTTTATTCTGCAGTGGAATGATCCTCTTAGGTGTCAAATGTTTCATTGTATTTCAGGTATCAGTGACTCAGATGTAATTTTGGACCTACTGAAACCACAGAATGCTGATAAAATCCTCATCAAGATTGCTGACCTGGGCAATGCCTGCTGGGTGGTGAGTTGGTTAAAATGAAATAGTTTCATCCACCCAGTAATCCCATATCTCCTCCATGGCTTCATAATCCTCCATTATTCATTCATTTTTTAGGTCACAATGTATTATGAACCAGATCTAGTGAAGATTTGATGAAATTTCTTGGAGGCGTTTTGAAAAAAGTGTCAAGCAAAAAAATCTGCTTTTACACCTCAGTTGTCAGATCAATGAAACAAACTGCAAACTGTTTTATAAATGGCCACATGTCTAGTTTATAAAACACTGCCAGCCCATTATTTTTACAGAACACAGTGTGACAGGTGCTTTCTGTGGAGCACAGTATGACAGCCATATTTACCATGCCCTCCAGTGAAAAACACAGCTGCCATATGTTTCCAGTAAGATGAAACTGTGTGGGCAGATTTGAAACGTAGCTTGAGAGAGACGTACACTATTATCTTGTGCATTTCAGTGCAACCCAGTGAAACAGCACTGGGTTGTTGTTGTTATGTTTCTCATTTCAGTCAGGAAAAGAGACAATGGGGTTATTTTAAAAAAAACACCTTTAGCCAAGCTAGCAGCATGGCTCTATGGATGCTAATGTCCACCACTTTGGTCCAGAGACTGAAATATCTGACAACTATTGGATGGATTGCCATGCACTTTGACACACATCAATGTCCCCCTCAGGATGAATTGTAACCACTTTGGTGATCCTCTTGCTTTTCACCTAACCCCACCTTAACATCAAAGTTTCACTTGTCCAGGACTCTGGCTTAAGATCCAACACCTCAGTCTCAGCTGTGCTACTTGTCTTTTGTGCTAATTATGTTTACATGCTAACCTACTAAACAAGCATGCTGACTATGATTAACATTATAGCTTCTTATCATCACCATATTAGAATTGTTACTGTTAGCATGTCAGCATATTAGCATTTAGCTTAATGCACAGCATTTCTTCAAGTACAGTCTCAAATAGCTGTTAGCATGTATTAAGTTGAATAAGTTACAGTTAATTTTTTAAAACATTAAAATCTCATCTCTCCTGTTGTTAGCACAAACACTTCACTGAAGACATCCAGACGTGTCAGTACCGCTCTGTGGAGGTCCTGATCGGTGCTGAGTACGACACACCAGCTGACATCTGGAGCACCGCCTGCATGGTGAGACAAACACCTGCACAGATGTGTTTTTTCTTTAATTGTTCTCCATCTCATATTATGCCTCTGTGCCTGCAGAAGATATAATAATGTTTTCGGGTTGTTCGTCCGACTGTCTGTCCCATTCTCATGAAGAATATATCTCAGGAACGCCTTGAGGAAATTTCTTTCTTCACTTGGATTCAAGGATGAACTGATTAGAATTTTGATGGTCAAAGGTCACTGTGACCTTAGATTTGACATCAGCATCTTTGTTCCTTTGTGTGCTCTTTAGGCTTTTGAGCTTGCCACTGGGGACTATCTGTTCGACCCCCAATCAGGAGCCAGCTTCTCCCGAGAGGAAGGTTTGTTTTGGTCACTGCATCCCTTTTGTCCTTGATTAAACTAAATGTGCTCATAATACAGCATCTTTCTGTGTCTCTTCAGATCACATTGCCCACATCATTGAGCTGCTGGGACCCCTCCCATCTCAGTTTGCCCTCTCAGGGAGAAATTCCAAACAATACTTCAACCGTAAAGGTAAAGTGTACAAAATTGTTCAAAATAACATTATGCGCTTCATACTATGAAATTTCCTGCATCTGATATTTGCACTCAGACACTTTTCCAATACTCAGAATATAGTTGGAACATTTTATATTATATTGTATAAATGTTAAAAAATGATTTTAGAGTTTAGTTTCCTGATTCTTCATATTATGGTGGAGCCGTCACACTTTGTGGTAGATGGTGTTTGAGATAAATTACAAACTTTATATTAACAATTTATTTGCAAAAAGAAGACAAAGGTGTTGTATCAGTCTACTTTTTACCTTGTCCAGGACAACTGCGACACATCTCGAAGCTCGAGCCATGGAGCTTGTTTGAAATCCTACAAGATAAGTACGAGTGGCCGCAGGAGGAAGCCGCCCAGTTCAGCTCTTTCCTCTTGACCATGTTGGAGCTGCTGCCGGAGAAAAGAGCCACGGCTGCCCAGTGTCTGAAACACCCTTGGATTGCCTCCTAGACAGCCTGGCCCTGTATCGTTCAGAGCCCAGTGGAATAGCTCTCTGTTCAGGAGCAGACTCAGACATATTGCATGTGACATAGGACTTGGGTCAGCTGTGGGAGTAGTCTGGTGCTGGCATCATGAGCACAGCTTTCATAAATATTTATTAGCCTGACTAAGAGCCTTTTCACAGTTTGGATGTTCGGTCTTTAAATGGCCATCACATCTAATTCAGGCACAGCAACGACCAAAGAGAAGTTTTGTCTTACTGCAAAAGTGCCTTTTAACATGATGATGGAGTTCTTGAGTGTCATTATGCTGACATAACATTGTTATTATTCAGGAGTTATTATGAGACAGGTATAGTGGCTTCAGAAATGATTCAGGCCCGTCCACTTTTTGCACTTTACTGTGTTGTAGACTTAATTGTAAATGGATAAAATTGCCAATTTTGCCCATCGATCTTCACTCACTAACACAGAGTTCCTTGGACTTGTTCTGTGCCCTTCTAAACTATAACCACTCAATTCAGTTTATCTAGTTGTGAATTGTCAAGTGGACTCCAGTCAAGTTCTAGACCTATCTCAAGAAAAATGAAAGCAAGCAGGAGGTGATGAGAAATGAGAGGTGTCAGTTTTTGGTTTTTAAATTCTTGAAATTTTCTCACTTTCACAATGTGGATTATTGAGTATGAATTGACAGGCAAAATGGCAATCTTATCAATGTAATATTAAATCTACAACACAATGAGTGTGCAAACAGTGAAAGGGTCTGAATACTTTCTGAAGCCTCTGTAAATCAAGATCCCTTTGAAGAAATGTTTATTGAAATACACGGAAAAAGTTGCAGCAAACCAGTCAGAAGCATGAGATGGATTTATTCAAAGAGAACTCAGTGTCCGAAATGTCAACTTGAAAGATTACCTTGATGACTCACCTCAGAAAAACGCACTTTATATGTTGGTTTATGAAGAACAAACTCTGACAGGAACCTCATTTTAGGTGAAAATGTAATCAAAATGGAAATGAGATAGAATTTTGAAATTATTCACTAAAGTATCAGGTTAAACATCCAGACATGATTATCGGTGGTTGCGGCAGCACTGAAAGTTAACCCTAATAAATCATTAAATGCCATCAGGAATTACTCCCTCCTTTTTTACAATCCCTGAGTGAGTGAGCGAGTGTGTGTATGTGTAATGTGTTGACTGTTAAGATCTGGTGTGTTGTGCATTCCTTGCATGCTCACATTCAGCAGGGCTCTGAGAGGGGGTTGGAAGGAAGAAGAGGGAGGAGTTAGTCTCGTGTAAAGGCAAGCATATGTCCGGATGTTAGAAAACTCACAGATTTTCTTCTAGCAACTAGAGGAGTTGAGAAGAGGACAGGGAGCGGTGCCTGCCCGCACATGTAAGTCTTATTTTCTATTAGATTTTAATGAGAGACCTTTTAAGGATGCATGGGATGGTTTTTCTTTTTATGCCTAACAAGTGTTTGTTCCTGTGTTGCTCAAGGGAGGCGGATCAGTCTGAGTATAATTCCTGTTTTGGACTGATGAGTGCGTGCACTCATAGCACTGGGGGAAATTGGGGGAGAACAAAGATTAGATATACTGCCAAACTGGCATTACTGCAATACTCACCAGTCATGCCATTTTCACAGTTTTCTCATAACCTTTTCATGATGTGGGTTGTATGCATGCCATCTAACTTTGTACTACACAATTGTGTCTCTAAACACTGATCAAAGTGTTTATCAAGCCATGCCAAGACATTCTGTATTTTAGTTTCTGAATGTCTTGCTGTATGTCTGGAGTAAGCCAAAGTAAAGGTTAAAGTCCCAGTGTTCTGCCTTTTGTGACACAGCTCTTAACCCCCAACCAGTTGCCATGCAACTCAAACTCCAAATCAAAAGGAATTACCTCAACCACCACTGGTCTTTCACAGTTGCATTATTAGTGCAAGGTAGAGTCGTTTCCAGCCATTCTCTTCACTGCTTTCCCACAGATGGACTCTGGCTGTGCTTTTCTCCTCCTTTTCTCCTCTGTTCCCCCCACTTCATCTGTGCTTGAGAAGTCTAAACAGATTAATTGCATCTGAGAGTGGGAAAGCTGCTCACAAAGCACCGTGCAGTGTGTTTACCAGTGTTTATTGCAGTTGATATTAAATGATATCCTACAGTGATATCATCACTTTAAGACGTGTTTGGATGTGCGGCGGGGACCTGGCAGCAGCAGCAGCAGCAGCAGCAGCAGCTGATAACGAAAACAGGAGCAGTATCAGTATTGTACACTGCATAGTAAACACCCATCTCATTAGCCTGACACAAAGGGAGAGGTAGAGTGAGAGGCGATATGAGAGCTTTCATTTATCTCATGCAAATGTGTTGTTATTGCACTTTGCCTGTGCTTCATTTATCACAGCCTTTCTTCATAACACAGCACCGTATCACCATGCTGAACTGATGTTTGTGCTCTGTCTTGGTTGTAGGATGTGGCTGACTCTTATTTACAGTTGCATCGGTGGAGCAGCTCTTCTGTATGCCTTGTACAGATGGGTGATCCCCGCCGCTGTGCAATATCATGGAGGATTGGCGCTGATTTGGCATGATGTCATTGTGGAGCGGATGCTGGACACACTGACCCAGTCAACTCGTCCTCAGGTGCGCCTTCACTATAAAAAAAACGCACCTCTCACAAGAGCAGCCCAAACACACTAATGAATAATGATTATGTGACAGAAAATAATGCTTCGCAAATAAAAAAGAAGAGGCCACATACACAAAGGTTAAATGTCAACCAAAGTATTTGAAAAATTTAAATTTTGGCCTGATGATGGCACCATATGAAGAGTTGAGGGATTACCATAGTGATTACAACTCACCCTGAGAGTGAGAAGAAGTCAGGGTGTCACCAAAGTTAGAGAGCTTCCTCCTCTGGGGACCATGGATAAGAGAATAAGATTCATGACAATCCGTCCAATAGTTGATGAGATATTTCAGGTTGAACCAAATGTGACTGTGTAAAATAATATGTGACCAAATAAAAATTGTACTTTAACTGAGAAAGAAAATTAAACATTAAATCTGGCCTGTCTGAAATCATGATGTTGCTCCACAGTGAAGACATTGTTAAGCTTTAATAGCATTTTCACACAGTGATGTAAGAATTCCTAAACTGTAACAAGTCAGGTGCAGGTCAGGACTAGATTTAACATGCAACAATAAACCTTTCACATGTGTAACTAACAACATTAATAATAATTTTCTAAGTACCCCACTGTTCTACTATTGTACATGCTGGCTCACTGGGCTACAGTAACTGTTAATCTAATTAGTTACACCTGTGATTTTCCTAACAAACCGGAAGCTTTAACATATTGGTGGGAAAAAAAACAATCTATTCTCATGAACACTCAGGTTAAATCTTGTATCCTATATCTGTGAGTTAACAGCATTAAGGTATGCATGGAGGCAAAGGTCAAACCAGAATTAACGGATGGAAAAGATGAAAAAACCTTTAGATTTTTCTTTCACAATCAAACTAATTTATTGTTTTATAGCTTCAGTGGTGTGACAGACCAAACAAAAATACAAAAAAATAATGTGATGTGGTCAAAAATTGTGGAAAACATGTTTGATGTGACTGTAAATCTTAAAGGGATATTGAGGGAAAGGTTCAAGCATTCTTCTTCTCAGTAAAGACAGAGACTACAGATATGATAGTAATTTATGATGAGAAGATGATCAGACCCTAAAGCCTCCTTCTGTAACTGCCTCATAGGCAACCCAAACGTTATCAAGCAGTAATGATTGAATTATTAACGATAAATGATCGGTGACATTGATTATAATGTTGTAAAACGGCACTGTTTCTTCACCCTCTCCTCAGCGGCTCCTGAATGCAGTACAGAAGAAGGCCACTAGAGGAGACCCTCGCAGCGTGGTCAAAGCCATCGATGACTTCTGCAGACACAAGGAGTGGGCCATGAATGTGGGGGATGAGAAGGGTATTGATTTGTCATTCTTCGTCTATTTCCTTTCATGTGTGAACTCATTACCTTACATGACCCAGCTGTATGTCTTAGTGCCTGCTTGTTCTGTTTTGCCGCAGGCTGCATTCTTGACTCTGTGGTGTCTGAGATAAACCCAGCCACTGTGTTGGAGCTGGGAACCTACTGTGGCTACTCCACGGTGCGGATCGCCCGCCTGCTTCCCCCTCACGCCAAACTCATCACTCTTGAATTTAACCCTGACTTTGCTGCAATTGCCCGTCAGGTCATTGCGTGGGCAGGACTAGAGGAAAAGGTAAAGCCTGATGTCTCTGAAAAACAATGATTTACAGTGTGTGTACATGTCAGAAGATGGTGTCCTTCTTCTTTCAAGGTCCAGTTAGTCGAAGGTGCATCTGGTGACTGGATCCCCAAGATGAAGGAGCAGTTCGGGATTACAACATTTGACCTGGTTTTCCTGGATCACTGGAAGGATCGCTACCTCCCTGACACAAAATTGATGGAGGCAAGTTGTGTTGTGCTTACTTTGTACTGATCAAACTCTTGATTGTTCTGCCCTGACACTCACTTTGCTTTTATAATCAGGAGTGTGGCCTGCTCAGGAAAGGCAGCGTCCTGCTGGCCGACAACGTCATCTGCCCTGGAACTCCTGACTACCTGGAGTACATCCGCAGCAGCCCGCGATACGAGAGCCGGTACTTCAAATCTCACCTGGAGTACACCAAAGTGGAGGATGGCTTGGAGAAGTCTGTCTTCAAAGGGTAGTTTTTAACAAATAGAGTCATGTTTTACCCAGGTACTAATAAACCTCAGACCTCTGTTGTCTTGGGTTCACTGAGCAGACTTAAAATCAGGAGTTAAATCTTTCTAACATGTCATAGAGAGTGTTAACTTGAAATAAAAAGGAAACGTGAGGGGAAAACAAACCATTTGTGTTGTGTGCTTTATTTTTCATAGAGCCAAAAGATGGAAGTTGATGCACTCTTTGAGATGTCTATATACAGTGGTACAGTAGGTGGTGGTAGTGATTCTGTATTTGAGCTCCTAATTGACAGATGATGAGCTGCAAACTGATCCGGGGGGCTTCTTTTCCCAGAGCATCAACTGAAATCAATAATAAATCTAATCCGGCAGCACTCTGTGGTGCACAAACCTATTTTCTGCTCTGATATTCTCCACCATTGTGCCAGCGTTGACAGGTGTGTGTGTGTGTGTGTGTGTGTGTGTGTGTGTGTGTGTGTGAAAGAGTAGAGTGAGTGTGTGTGAGGGTATGAATCAAATCGCTGCTCATCTAATCTCTCAAAGTGACAGAGTTCCATCATACCGGGATGGGGAGGGGAGGAATGGGAGGGGAGGGGAGGGGCTCTGCATTTGGTTCAGCCGTATGAAAAAAAAAAAAAAAAAAAAATATGGGCTAGTCCACCTACTGCTTTCTTCACAGACGCCTGCATGATAATCCCAATCTGTGGCCATTAGTGCACTGAGAGAGCGAGAGAGGCGAGGGTTCAACAGAGAGAAAGGGAGAGAGAGGGAGAGAGAGTTAGAGAGAGAGAGTGAGGGGGGGGGGAGTGCCTGGACAGAGATGCACACACAGGAAAAAGAATGAGAGAGAGAGGGAGAGAGCTTTTAAGGGATTTGGCAGTGATTTGTAGAATCTCACTGCTGTAATGTTGCGCTTTTCCTCCACTTTTCCCCGACTCTGCCATGATACTACACCCTAAAGCCTCAAAAGTCAGTGTTTTCCTTTTGTCTTTATGAATCACAACTACTTCTTTTTCAACCATTGTTTTTAGTGTGTTCTGGTTATTTTTGAGAGTGCACAGCGCCTGTCTGAGATGATAGAGGATTTACTTTTGGTGAAGAGAGGAGAGCCTTGCCTCTAGATACATAATCACATTTTGGACCATGGACGGAGGCCTGTGTGGACGAGCTCATGTGACGGATAAAATCGAGACTGGTCGATGAAGAATGGGCAGGTAAGAAGCGCCTTTACATGTCGAAATTCCTCTCCTTGCAGGTTGTCTGTGATTGTATTTTCAATGAGAAAAATGATCTGCAACAGCTGGGAGTTATGCAGCTTAGAATTTCTGCAGATTCGTATTATCATTTTATAGATTTTAAGAATATTTTCAACAAATTTCCATGGATTAAACTTTACAAGTGCAGTGCAGGAAAATAGAAAGATGTTGCATCATAAATATGAGTTAAAGTATGGATATAGTATTTAAAATTTAAAATAAAAGAAATATTTAAGAAGGCAAACTAATATTATTAGATTTAATTCATTTTAGGCATTCGGATTCAATACTTACAGTTTGAAGTTCCCTCTTAATAAATATGTGCTTGCGTCCAAATTCTGCCTGGAAATGTTAAATATACTTGCACTCTTGATAATGACATTTTTACATTTGGTTGAGCTCAGTTGATTACTGTGGATTTTGTCAATGATCCTCATGCAGATATAATTAACCTGCTCCAGCTTTTGGAGCATGAAATCCTGCAAAGGTTCAGTTGATGTTTTCTGTTTTGCAAAATTTATAGTGTTTTCCATAATTGGCTCTCAGCTCTCTTTGATAAAAGCTTCCAGTATTCACTCTGTGTCATCCTGCAGGCTGCCTAAAATCTTCTCCTCAGCCACAGCTTTTTTAAAGTGTGCATATATGTATAGCTTTATATTTAGTCTTTTCTTATGGTTTCTTGCTTCTGCTTTGATTCACCACAATAGATAGATAGTTTTAAAAAGAAACCCACTGCATCTGTACACTCTGTTACCTATGGGAATTATTCTCAAGTCAATACGACTTCACCAGCTCCACAGACCCATTGGCAGGTCTACTATTACAATATCATGTTATGCATGGAGGCAAAGGTCAAACCAGAATAAACCTTTTAAAGGATGGAAGAGATGCAAAGACTTTTAGATTTTTCTTTCACGATCAAACTAATTTATTGTTTTATACCTTCAGTGGTGTGGCAGACCAAACAAAAATACAAAAATGAAATGTGATGTGGTCAAAAATTGTGGAAAACATGTTTTATCTGACTTTAAAACTTAAACTTAAAGGGATATTGAAGGAAAGGTTCAAGCATTCTTCTTCTCAGTAAAGACAGAGACTACAGATATGATAGTAATTTATGATGAGAAGATGATCAGACCCTAAAGCCTCCTTCTGTAACTGTCCCATAGGTGTCAAAGGTAGAGGGAGTGGCCTGGTGCTGTCAGTACCTCTGCTGGTCATCATCATGACATCAGAGGTCCCATCATCCCATCAGTGCTCCTGGCTCGGTTCACTATCCGGATACAGAACATGGTCTGGGCTGCTGTGGGTGCTTCTGGTGGGTATCAGCCCGGGCTCATGGGCCCAGCAGGGCACCCAGCCCCAGTCCATCAAAATCGAGGGCGACATCACCCTGGGCGGGTTGTTCCCGGTGCACTCTCGAGGACCTGCCGGGGTGCCCTGCGGGGAGATCAAGAGAGAAAAGGGGATCCACCGACTGGAGGCCATGCTGTATGCCTTGGACCAGATCAACAGTGACCCAGACCTGCTGCCTAACATCACTCTGGGGGCCCGGATCCTGGACACCTGCTCCAGAGACACCTACGCCCTGGAGCAGTCGCTCACTTTTGTCCAGGCCCTCATCCAGAAGGACAACTCAGATGTTCGCTGCTCAAATGGAGAGCCTCCCATCATCCCCAAACCAGAGAGGGTGGTCGGGGTGATCGGGGCATCTGGCAGCTCGGTGTCCATCATGGTGGCCAATGTGCTCAGACTGTTCGCGGTGAGCTTTCTTTCATTAACTCTCTTCATTAAACACTGAAAGGGCAAAATATTTGGGACAGTTCCTCTTTTCAGTAAAGTAAGCTGATGAGGTGAAAGCTATTATCCCCTCACTGCTTTCTCTTTTTTAATCTATCCACAAAGGAGGAAAGAGGAACATGTGTAGAGCTGTGGTTCCCAACCTGGGGATCGGGATCACTCAGTGGGCCCTAAGATAATTCTGAGAAGTCCCAAAGATGATAAAAGGGATAGTAACTTAAAAACAAACAAACAAACAAACAAACCAACAAAAAAAAACTAATTACGTTAATGTTTTCTGACTTTTATTTTCTTTGAAATACTGCTTTCACATCGTCAGAGCTCAGAATTTAAAAAGGAAGAATCACTTTTTGGTTAATATCTGAACACGTCCACACTAAGGCCACACAGTAACATCTGATTAGCTGACAAAAAAGACTAGGAATCACTGAGCAAGAGAAAGATCTACAAGCTGACTGTCAACTGAGACTGTGCCAAAGTGGGTGGGGCTATCAATAATATGTCCTTAATATTTTGTATGTTCAGTGTGTCATCACATTTTAGTGGTATCAGAAAGAATGCACACATTTAAAATTGATTTATGGCTCAAAATAGAAAAACTTCTATTTTTTTTCACTGAATTCTGTCTGAAATCTGTTTGTTTCTACTGTTAAATTAGCTCACTACAGATCTAGATACAATGCACAGGTCCACACGTGCCTTATTCATTTTACTGTAAGTCCACTCTTAAATGATGAATGGGGACATTGATCATCATTACATTTTATTATTTATTATCTATTTCTGCAGCATGAACTTGGTTACGTTTAGTTGCAGTTCAGTTATTGATTTTACAAACCATATTTAATAACATCATTTCACTCTTGTTGGATACTTGGATTGATAATATTGGACATAACATTATATTGCTGCTGTACTGACACATTCAACCTGATATGATTTCGAAACAAGTCATTTAAAAAGACTATGAATAGTTTGGATGAGCTCTTGTATTGATGGAAGGCACACTTCACGGGATTGTGAGTCCATTGTCATGAAGGCTAATCCATGTGATGCGTTCGGTGTACAGTTATTTTTTAAACAGATGATTTACCTTTAATAATTGATTACACTGCTTACAGCGATGAAGGGACATCGAGGCTGTGTAAATCCCACATTATGCCATGTTCTCATCGACTTACCGACATAGCCTGCCAGAAATCTAGAAATGTCTAAAAATAAACACCAGCCTGAGTCAAAGTGGCCAAATTTGTTTTAAGTAAATATTTTATTTCTACTTGCCTGGACGTCACTTGTTGCAGCATTCTGTATATGAGGATGTTGAGTTGAGAGCCAAGGAGGGGCAGCTTGTATACAGGGCAGATGTTAACTACAGAATTATAGATCCCAACCTCCACTAAGCCCCTCTCAGCAGCTCAGGACCCTGGGCTGAAAATAGAGCATCAGGGCAGCAGGATGACATTGGTTCTAGGATAACAGCAAGTTGTGGCCGGTGTGGAGTAGATTTAGCTAAATGGTGTGTTTCCTCCTACTGCCCATATGTGCTGCTCTCCGGACTGCGGATGCTTCTAGACCGTCCGTTCACTATACATTGAACATCTGCTCTTAGCCAGAGCAGGAGATGTTTCAGCATCTTTCACTGACACTGTTATTACTTCGCTTTTGCAGTTATTGACCAATACCTCAAGGTTACTTTATTTAGTCAATAGTTTATCTCTAAAGCAATTTATTTGCTTTAGTTTTTATCTTTATTTTTCCACATATGAGCTTGTTCAGTAACAAGACTCATCCAGTTCCTTTTTTCTACAAAGCTTGCAGTGTTGAAATTATTAATTAATCAATTAGTTGATTGACAGATTATTAGTCAAGCTTCTTAAATGTGAGAATTTGCTGCTTTTCTGAAGAAGGCTGTCGGGAATTATAATGGAAATTTTGTAGTATTGTTTTCTCTTTTTTTTTTTTTTTTAATTTTATAGCCTAAGCCATTAATGGATTAATCAAAAAGGTACTCAATAGATTAACTGAGCGTGAAAATAGTCGTTAATAATTGCAGCCTAATGATCCCTTTAATTTTGTATCATCCAATATTTCAATGCACTGTTCATAAT